ACAACTCTGTTGCCAAGACTGTTCACTGTAGGCACTTGCATGTGTGTGTATACATCTTTCTCCTTTAAGATAAATCTGTCTTCACTGCAAGGCCTGGTCACAGACCGGGCCACGGGGGCGTTGACCCCCGAAATCCTCTCCAGGTATACTGGATCCAGCACATGTCCAGTGCGCTCTAGCCTCGTTAGGTGATTCTTCATGGGTAGTTTTGGGGAAAAATGGGCAAGAAGTGGGTGTTCATGGTTGTTTGAGAAGGGCCTGCCTTGTATGGGCCATAAGCCTACTGCAGTGTTCCCTCATCAGACTGATAGACTGACACAACGACTCCAGACAAAAGGGACCGATACCTCAAACCCTGACTCACCATCTTTCTTCGTTTGAACGATAAGTCGTGTAGCTTTAATATTTTTCTTATAAAGATACCCAATGTCTGATTATCTGGGAACATGAGAGGTCCCCGAGGAGGGGAGGAGGGAGGGGGAGGTAGGGGAGGAGGGAGGGGGCATCCATGGTACAACCAGGTTGTTGCTGCCAGTGTTGACACAGTAAGAGTTAGATGTGTTAGAACACGTCTCTGGGGTGATAGAACACATCCCTGGGTGATAGAACACATCCCTGGATGATAGAACACATCTCTGGGGTGATAGAACACATCTCTGGGGTGATAGACACATCCCTGGGTGATAGAACCACATCCTGTGTGATAGAACACATCCCTGGGTGATAGAACACATCTCTGGTGATAGATCACATCCCTGGGTGATAGAACACATCTCTGGGGTGATAGAACACATCCCTGGGTGATAGAACACATCTCTGGGGTGATAGATCACATCCCTGGGTGATAGAACACATCTCTGTGTGATAGAACACATCCCTGGGTGATAGAACACATCTCTGGGGTGATAGATCACATCCCTGGGTGATAGAACACATCTCTGTGTGATAGAACACATCCCTGGGTGATAGAACACATCTCTGTGTGATAGAACACATCCCTGGGTGATAGAACACATCTCTGGGTGATAGAACACACCCCCTGGGTGATAAAACACATCCCTGGGTTGATAGAACACATCCCTGGGTGATAGAACACATCTCTGGGTGATAAAACACATCCCGGGGTGATAAAACACATCCCTGGTGTATAGAACACATCCCTGTGATAGAACACATATCTGGGGTGATAGAACACATCCCTTGGTGATAGAACACATCTCTGGGGTGATAGAACACGTCCCTGGGTGATAGAACACATCTCTGGGTATAGAACACACCCTCTGGTGATAGAATACACCCCTTTGGTGATAGAACACATCCCTGGGTTTATAGAACACATCCCTGGTGAAGAACACATCCTGGGTGATAGAACACATCCCTGGTGATAGAACACATCCCTGGGTGATAGAACACACCCTCTGGGTTATAGAAAACATCTCTGGGTGATAGAACACTCCCTGGATGATAGAACACATCCCTGGGTGATAGAACACACCCCTGGGTTATAGAACACTCCCTGGTGATAGAACACATCCCTGGGTTTATAGAACACATCTCTGGGTGATAGAACACATCTCTGGATGATAGACACATCTCTGGTGATAAAAAACACAATCCCTGGGTGATAGAACACACCCCTGGTGATAAAACACATCTCTGGTGATAGAACACATCCCTGGTGATAGAACACATCCCTGGGTGATAGAACACATCCCTGGTGATAGAACACATCCCGGGGTTTATAGAACACATCGGGGGTGATAGAACACATCTCTGGGTGATAGAACACATCCCTGGGTGATAGAACACATCCCTGGGTGATAGAACACATCCCTGGATGATAGGACACATCTCTGGGTGATAGAACACATCCCTGGGTGATAGAACACATCCCTGGGTGATAGAACACATCCTGGGTGTGATATAACACTCCTGGGTGATAGAACACATCTCTGGGTGATAAACACATCTCTGGGTGATAGAACACATCTTTTGGGTGATATAACACATCCCTGGATGATAAACACATCCTGGTGATAGAACACATCCCTGGGTGATAGAACACATCCCGGGGTGATAAAACACATCCCTGGGTGATAAAACACACATCCCCGATATAGAACACATCTCTGGGTGATAGAACACATCCCTGGGTGATAGAACACATCCCTGGGTGATAGAACACATCTCTGGGTGATAGAACACATCCCTGGGTGATAGAACACATCTCTGGGTGATAGAACACATCCCTGGGTGATAGAACACATCCCTGGGTGATAGAACACATCCCTGGGTGATAGAACACACCCCGGGGGTGATAGAACACATCCCTGGGTGATAGAACACATCCCTGGGTGATAGAACACATCCCTGGGTGATAGAACACATCCCTGGGTGATAGAACACATCCCTGGGTGATAGAACACATCCCTGGGTGATAGAACACATCCCTGGGTGATAGAAACACATCCCTGGGTGATAGAACACATCCCTGGGTGATAGAACACATCCCTGGGTGATAGAACACATCCCTGGGTGATAGAACACATCCCTGGGTGATAGAACACATCCCTGGGTGATAGAACACATCCCTGGGTGATAGAACACATCCCTGGATGATAAAACACATCCCTGGGTGATAGAACACATCCCTGGGTGATAGAACACATCCCTGGGTGATAGAACACATCCCTGGGTGATAGAACACATCCCTGGGTGATAGAACACATCCCTGGGTGATAGACACATCCCTGGGTGATAAACACATCCCTGGTAAATAGAACACATCCCTGGGTGATAGAACACACCCCCTGGTGATAGAACACATCCCTGGGTGATAGAACACATCCCTGGGTGATAGAACAAAACCTGTGAAGAACCCCACCTGGTGATAGAACACATCCCTGGGTGATAGAACACATCCCTGGCTGATAGAACACATCCCTGGCTGATAGAACACATCCCTGGGTGATAGAACACATCCCTGGCTGATAGAACACATCCCTGTGATGGGAACACATCCCTGGTGATAAACACATCCCGGGGTGATAGAACACATCCCGGGGTGATAGAACACATCCCGGTGATAGAAACACATCCCGGGGTGATAAACACATCCCTGGTGATAGAACACTTTCCCGGGGTGATAGAACACATCCCGGGGTGATAAAACACATCCCTGGTGATAGAACACATCCCTGGGTGATAGAACACATCCCTGGGTGATAGAACACATCCCTGGGTGATAGAACACATCCCTGGGTGATAGAACACATCCCTGGGTGATAGAACACATCCCTGGGTGATAGAACACACATAATTACATATGTAGCCAAGTCTGCTGTTATGTGTAACCGTGTACGTACGTTCCTTCTCTCTGTACGTTCTTTCTCTGTACGTTCTTTGTACGTTCTTTCTCTGTACGTTCTTTGTACGTTCTTTCTCTGTACGTTCTTTCTCTTTACGTTCTTTGTACGTTCTTTCTCTGTACGTTCTTTCACTTAAGTTCTCTCTTTGTACTCTGTAAATCCCACGCTCATCTCCTACAAGCAGGTAGCTATGTGTGTGTACTCAGCTGTGTGCGTACTCAGCTATGTGTGTGTACACAGCTATGTGTGTGTACACAGCTATGTGTGTGTACACAGCTATGTTGTGTACACAGCTGTGTACTCAGCTATGTGTGTTGCTTTTGGTGACACAGCTATGTGTGTGAACACAGCTATGTGTGTGTACTCAGCTATGTGTGTGTACACAGCTATGTGTGTGTACTCAGCTATGTGTGTGTACACAGCTATGTGTGTGTACTCAGCTATGTGTGTGTACTCAGCTATGTGTGTGTACTCACCTAGTTGTACTCACCTAGTTGAGGTTGCGGGGGTCGAGTCCGAGCTCCTGGCCCCGCCTCTTCACTGATCGCTACTAGGTCACTCTCCCTGAACCGTGAGCTTTATCATACCTCTGCTTAAAGCTATGTATGGATCCTGCCTCCACTACATCGCTTCCCAAATTATTCCACTTACTGACTACTCTGTGGCTGAAGAAATACTTCCTAACATCCCTGTGATTCATCTGTGTCTTCAACTTCCAACTGTGTCCCCTTGTTACTGTGTCCAATCTCTGGAACATCCTGTCTTTGTCCATCTTGTCAATTCCTCTCAGTATTTTGTATGTCGTTATCATGTCCCCCATCCTCCTGTCCTCCAGTGTCGTCAAGGTTATTTCCCTTAACCTCTCCTCGTAGGACATACCTTTTAGCTCTGGGACTAGTCTTGTTGCAAACCTTTCCACTTTCTCTAGTTTCTTTACGTGCTTGGCTGGGTTGGGTTCCAAACTGGTGCCACATACTCCAATATGGGCCTAACGTACACGGTGTACAGGGTCCTGAAGATTCCTTATTAAGATGTCGGAATGGCTGTTCTGAGGTTTGCTAGGCCCCCAAAATCTAAAAGCAGTTATTTGGTTGATGTGCGCTTCAGGAGATGTGCCTGGTGTTATACTCACCCCAAATCTTTTTCCTTGAGTGAGGTTTGTAGTTTTCTGGCCCCCTAGACTGTACTCCGTCTGCGGCCTTCTTTGCCCTTCCCCAATCTCATGACTTTGCCTGTGGAGAACTCCAGGAGCCAATTGCTGGACCACCCTGGGGGGGTTTGTGGTAGGTTGGGTTGTGGTTGTAGTAGGTTGTGGTTGTGGTAGGTTGTGGTTGTGGTAGGTTGTAGTTGTGGTAGGTTGTAGTTGTAGTAGGTTGTAGTTGTGGTTGTGGTAGGTTGTAATTTTGGTTGTGGTAGGTTATAATTTTGGTTGTGGTAGGTTGTAATTGTGGTTGTGGTAGGCTAGTCTCAGACCGAGCCGCGGGGGGGCATTGACCCCGAAACCTTCTCCAGGTAAACGTGTATTAAGTTAATTTTAAATCAGTGTGTGGTGTGTACCCTCAGGGTGTACACTGAAGAGGACCTCAGTTCAAGGTCGAAATAAGCAAATTTACATAATGTCCTTGCTTTACTTGCGACTCAATTTTTTACCCACAGGGCTACAAGCTATACTACACCACGAACCCATCACTGCCCATCCAGTCGTGGAAAAGCCAGCCAGTACAGGATAACAAGCTGACCACCATCAGTGATCTCACCCCTCACACTATATATACCATACGTGTTCAAGCTTATACTGGTATTGGACCAGGACCTCTCTCAGACCCTGTTAAGGTCAAGACCCAGCAAGGAGGTACGTCTCCCCCTCTTCTCTTTTTTTGTTTTTTAATTTTTAATGTGAAGCCTGTGTTTTTTTTTTTTTGGGTATGGACCTTGGTAATACCGACATAGGCCTGGAACTTAAAAAAAAAAATAGGTTTAGAAAGGCATTTTAGTAAACACCAGGATAAATTAGAAAACGTTTGGGTCCTGGAATGTTGGTCACTTCTAAGACAGTATATATATGTTTTAGTGTTTGCTTAAGTGCCTTTCTAAGGCACTTAAGCAAACACTAAAACTGTGGGCTGAACGAGGGTTATTAATTAAGGTTGTAACTCACCTATACATAGTCATAAACTTTGTAAACCCTAAGGGGCTTAAGGGTGGCGGTCTGGAAAAGGGAGCTAGGGGACTAATCTTGAAATAATATTTCTTTGAGGAGGGCTGCAAGCGGGAAGGCGGGGGGGGGGGGGGCTGAGGGAATGGCTAGTGGGGGTTAAGCCCCCCTTCTATATCCCCCCTTAGGGCCGTCCCTAGAAAGCAAATATTTTTTCTATGTATGATACATTGGCTTCATTAGTCCTATATACAGAAGAATGGCGAAGATTAGAAGGACTTTGAGGTGATCAGTCCCCTCAGCCTGAAGTCGACTGAATGCATCGACTCCAGGCTGAGGGGGACTGATCACCCAAACTCCTCCTTCTCATCTTCCACATTGGACTGAAGAAGCCACTAGCTAGCGATACGTTTCCATTTTAACCCCTGGAATGTATTTCTCATCTAGTCTGAAACCTAACCTATCACCTCTCTCAGTGTAACCTCTCTCAGTCCAAGCAATTTCTCACTTATCACTATCAAGACAGCACAATTCATCAGTGTCTATCAGTGGGGCTAATTAACGTGTCACTACAGTGCCAAGTCAACCCACGAATCTACTGCCATCAAGAGTGACATCCACGTCTATTGAGCTGAGTTGGACCAGACCTTCACACCAGGGAGAGAATATCATCTCTTATGAACTGTACTGGAATGACTCCACTACACAGGTCAGTATTGCTATTAGTGAATATCAAAATGGTATACAATACCGACAGGTTGGTAGATAAGACACATAGGCAACAGTTCGGCAACTTTATTCCGAAACGTTTCGCTTCTTCAGTCGAATACAGAAAGTAGGCAGGAACAGTAGAGATGTGAAGACGATGCAGTCAGTCCATCACCCTTGAAGTTCAGTTCCATATGGAACTGAACTTCTCCAGGCCGAGGGACTGACAACCTCAAATTCTACGACTTCAAGGGTGATGGACTGGTTACATCGTCTTCACATCTCTACTGTTCCTGCCTATTTTCTGTATTCGACTGAAGAAGCCTACTGTGTAGGCGAAACGTTTCGGAATAATGTTGCCTAACTGTTGCCTATGTGTCGTATCTACCAACATTGCTATTAGTAGTAGTACTAATATCATTAGTATTACTAGTACTAGTTGTACTATTACTAGTAGTACAAATACTAGTCCCAGTGTTAATAATAGTACTAGGAGTACTGCTACTAGTGGTACTATTACTAGTGGTACTACTAGTAGTACTGGTGCTACAAGTAGTATTACTAGTAGTACTAGCTGCTTGGCTTCTAATTGAACATTGTAGTAGGCCTACTGGCCCCATGCTAGGCAGGTTCAACTCACACCTACTCTCCTTTCTATCGTGTCTTAAAGGACCTGACACAACCTGACACAAATTTCTCGATCATCTCGCCAGGTATTAATTCCTTCCAGGCCCACAAGCACTCTTAGATACGTGCGGGTTTAGCGCTCCAGAGAATACTCAGACCGGGCCGCAGGGGGCGTTGACCCCCAAACCCCCCTCCAGGTATAATAATCCCGGTCTGATGATTTTGTAGGCCTACTGGAAGCCGGTTACTGACTCATCTGTGTGTGTGATGAATGGTTTGAAAAGCCGACAAGTTGAAGATTGAGACACTTATGCAGCATATGGGAATCTTTATTCAGGAAACGTTTCGCCACACAGTGGCTTCCTCAGTCCAATACAAAGTAGAAAGGCGTAAGGAGAGGAGTTTGAGGTAATCAGTCCCTCAGGCTGAGGGACTGACAACCTCAAATCTACGACTTGTAGGAAGTGATGGACTGATTACATCGTCTTCACATCTCTACTGCTCCTGCCTACTTTCTGTACTCGACTGAAGAAGTCTACTGTGTAGGCGAAACGTTTCGGAATAAAGTTGCCTAACTGTTGCCCATGTGTCTTACCTACCAACATAAGAGCATAAGAAAGGAGGAACACTGCAGAAGGCCTGTTGGCCCATACTAGGCAGGTCCTTTACAATCCATCCCACTAACAAATCATTTGCCCAACCTAGTTTTTAATGCTACCCAAAGTGACTTATCCATTCTGGTCCTTGACTTCCCCTAGGATCATTGTACTCCGGTATTGTAGATCAATGGTTAAGGGAACCGACACGTTGATAAATTAGACACATGTGCAATTCTTGGGTATCTTTACTGAGGAAACGTTACGCCACACAGTGGCTTCATCAGTCTATACAAAGGAGAATCTTGAAGAACAGGAGGAGAATGAGGTAATCAGTCCCTCAGCCTTGAGTCGATGTGGTCAATCCATCAATCTTGACTGTGTGGGGGTTTAAACGTGAGGTTCACCTGTTCTAATTGCTATTTTTTTACGTTCCCGTTTCTATTCCCTTTTTTTTTTTGCTCCCGTTTCTATTCCCCAAAGTAATTTCACTTCTAATTTCTGGCCAGCTTTGGGCGCTATTCCTTCCCCAGAAACTGGACAGTAGGGTTCATCACGGCCAGAAACTGGACAGTAGGGTTCATCACGGCCAGAAACTGGACAGTAGGGTTCATCACGGCCAGAAACTGGACAGTAGGGTTCATCACGGCCAGTAACTGGACAGTAGGGTTCATCACGGCCAGTAACTGGACAGTAGGGTTCATCACGGCCAGTAACTGGACAGTAGGGTTCATCACGGCCAGTAACTGGACAGTAGGGTTCATCACAGCCAGAAACTGGACAGTAGGGTTCATCACGGCCAGAAACTGGACAGTAGGGTTCATCACGGCCAGAAACTGGACAGTAGGGTTCATCACGGCATTATTTATGATAGTCCTATAAACTATCAACAACACCCCCCCCCCCCTCACGGGAGGTGCTAAGTGGCACTTCTGCATCAGCCATCGTCGGGTGTGGACGTCTCTCTCTCGCCTGGGCATCACTGACAAATTTCCACTGTTCTCACTGGGACGTTTGTCCTCATCTATTTTGCCCGCCGGGCACTCTACAGGAGGGGCACCTGGTCATCAATCAAGTTTATTCTCTATAAGGGTTACAATGTGGGGTTTACAGATTTTGGGTATTGTGTGGTTTACAGATTTTGGGTATTGTGTGGTTTACAGATTTTGGGTATTGTGTGGTTTACAGATTTTGAGTATTGTGTGGTTTACAGATTTTAAAATACTAATTACACAGGGGGCCACTAGGACACTCTCTGACCGCGGGTTCAAATCCCGCCCGTGGTATGGTTAGGACACCTAGCATGGCTAGGCATTTCGGGCAGACTTAGATTAATTCTTAACTTTAAATTATTACAAATTATGGAGTAAGTTGACTAAATACTTGTTTGTGAGTTTAGCAATGTGAATGCTTGTGTTTTGGCACAATACGTAGTGTCTATATTGGAGTATCACAGAGAAACTTGTGACTAGTTAGGATTTATTATTTTAATATTAAGATTCGTATTTCTGGGTGAGTGAGTGTAAGTGTGAACCACCAGGTGGTATTTGTGTAGTTAGTTGACAGGGTAAGATAAGATAAGATAAGATAAGATTTCGTTGGGATTTTTAACCCCGGAGGGTTAGCCACCCAGGATAACCCAAGAAAGTCAGTGCGTCATCGAGGACTGTCTAACTTATTTCCATTGTGGTCCTTAATCTTGTCCCCCAGGATGCGACCCACACCAGTCGACTAACACCCAGGTACCTATTTGCTGCTAGGTGAACAGGACAACAGGTGTAAGGAAACGTGTCGAAATGTTTCCACCCGCCGGGAATCGAACCCGGGCCCTCCGTGTGTGAAGCGGGAGCTTTAGCCACCAGGCCACCGGGCCATAAGAGATAAGATGTTTTCTAATGGTAGTTTTGAAGGTGATGAAAGTGTTGCATTTCTAGAGTTTTAGGTGGGGTGTTTAAGATTTTGGGGCCTTTGACAACTTTAAATTTTTTGAAAAGGTTTGTCGGCCCGGGGGAATGCGTAGGATGTTTGTGTCTGGTGTTATGTGTGGGTTCTGTCACAACTATCAAAAAAGCGTTTTGGTCAAGGTTAATATTGGAGTTTAAGGCCCTGTGAATGTTTGCACGTAGTAAGTGTGGTGTTCTGACGGGGGAAAGGGAAAAGATGTATGAAGAGTAGGGGGGTGTGTTCCCCAGGGAGGGTTAGTGATTATTTTACTGTGGCTTTTTGTTGGGTTATTCGGTTATTTTAGCCAGTCCATTTTTTTTCCCCCTTGCTGATAATTCTTTTTGGTCTGTGGGGGAGCCGGGAAAAGAACTCGGGGTGGGGTGTGGGCGTCGCTCTCTGTGGGCTTGGCAAGGGTGTCCCCCGGATCTTTTGGGAAAAATTCAGGTTTCTTTCTCTGTTTACAAAGGAACTTTTGTTCCTTTTTTTCATTTCCCAGCCTTGGGAACAATTTTTCCTGGTACCACGGAAGTCGGGTTGTACATTGTCAGTGGGCCCCATGGAAGTTGGGTTCGGAATGTGTCGTGGCCCTATTGAGAAGTCGGGTTCGTTAATTTCTGTCGTGGCCCCATCGAGAAGTTGGGTTCGATAATGCTTTATGTTGTCAGTGGCCCTATCGAGAAGTCGGGTTTGATGATGCTGTCAGTGGCCCTATTGAGAAGTCAGGTTCAATACATGCTGTCAGTGGCCCTATCGAGAAGCCAGCTTCGATACAGCTTATGCTGTCAGTGGCCCTATCAAGAAATTGGGTTCAATACATGCTGTCAGTGGCCCTGTCGAGAAATTGGGTTCGATACGGCTTATGCTGTCGGTGGCCCTATCAAGAAATCGGGTTCAATACATGCTGTCAGTGGCCCTGATAAACCCAACAACAACAATGAATGGATCTTCTTCCAAGGAATTGGAGCTCTCCTTCCTTTCCTTACACCAGGTTTGATTGCCTCCAATTTCTCAAGGCAGTGCATGACCCATACGGGTTTAGCGCTGCCTTAGGATACGTAGATAAACTGCTCAAAGAACCGACAGGTTGGTAAATTAGATACTTGTGTAACACTTGGGTATCTTTATTGAGGAAATGTTTCGCCACACACTGGCTTCATCAGTCCACTGTAAAGAAGACTGCTGAATATCAGGAGTAAGTAATCAGTCCCTCAGTCTTGATAAGACTGGTGGACTTATTACATCGACTCCAGGCTGAGGGACTGATTACCCCACACTCTGAGGGACTGATTACCTCACACACTGAGGGACTGATTACCTCACACACTGAGGGACTGATTACCTCACACTCTGAGGGACTGATTACCTCACACACTGAGGGACTGATTACCTCACACACTGAGGGACTGATTACCTCACACACTGAGGGTCTGATCACCCCACACTCTGAGGGACTGATTACCTCACACACTGAGGGACTGATTGCCTCACACTCTGAGGGACTGATTACCTCACACACTGAGGGCTGATTACCTCACACACTGAGGGACTGATTACCTCACACACTGAGGGTCTGATCATCCCACACTCTGAGGGACTGATTACCTCAAATTCCTCCTGATATTCACCATTCTTCTTTGTACTGGACTACCCTTGTAGGTTTAGCGCCTATTTTTGATCATAATTGTACTGGACTGATAAAGTCACTGTGTGGTGAAACATTTCCATAGTAAAGTCTGATGGATATGTGGGTCAGTGGGCCACAGCAGCAACAGCCTGGTTGCCTCCTGGTGTTTTTCCTCAGTATCTCCGTATCTGCAGTAGAACGATGCTGTTTCTTCATACAAGCCTTTTCCAAACCTCACTGTCGTCGTCATTTCATTAGAGACGAGCTGTGCGACCCTTGCGGGTTTAGTGCTTTGTTATGATTGTAATGATGATATTTGTAATCATCAGAAAGAAGACAAGATGCCACTAAAAACGATGCATAGTCCTTCTAAATAGCTCTGTAGCGCTTGTCACGGCATTATGCCCGGTGAACGCCTCGGCATAATGCCGTGACAAAAATCAAAGGCCTACCATAAAGGGGGGTCTTTTTTTGTCAATGCATTCTGCTGGGTAGCAGCCGTTAGCATGATGTGATGGCCTGCCGCCACACTTTACAGTGACTTCTCATTGCTAATGTGGATGCCGTGGTGAGAGGAAGTGTTGTACTGTTGTCTCTCGTCCACCCCACCTTTTGTCTAGTGTTTCCTTTGGTTTTGGGGGCTATACATGTTTGATTATGGGTAAAAGGAAGCCTTTAACACCTGAAACTATAGCTCAGATCATAGGGCTTCACAAAGCTGGGCACCAGATGAAAGAAATAGTGGAGAATGTTGGTGTGTGTGAGTGTTCAGTGAGGGACTGGGTGCAGCATTTCAAGAGTGGTGGCGGTGTCGAGTTACCTTTTCCCAAACCTCGGCCTGGCCCCTCAAAGAAGACATCTGTTCATACCTTAACTGTGTTAAAGAAGCAGTTACTCTCTAACAACTTCTTTACCACAGTTAAGGTATGAAGAGATGTCTTTTTGGAGGGGCCAGGCAGAGGTTTGGCAGGCGGTAACTCGACACCCCGACCAGTCTTGAAACGTTGCACCCAGTTCCTCACTGAACACTCACACACACACACACGCTAATATTCTCAACTATTTCTTTAATCTAGTGCCCAGCTATGTGAAGCCCTGTGATTTGACCTATAGTCCAGAGACCTTCACACACACACTGTTGCACCAGAAAAATAGATGACTTGAAAAACAACTGTGTTTCACACTTGTATTCCCTCAAAAGGTGTGTGTGCAATAATAGGAGAATGAAGAAACACTTCAGTAGGCCTACTGTCCCATGATTTATTGCTAAGGAAGAAGACACAGAGGCATAGGTTTTTAGACTCTTCCCTCATGAGCATATCTAACATTTTCAACCAGAATAACACCAGCTACAACATAGCACAGATTCTTGCAAAGAAACTTCTAGATATGTTTCTAACATAGCAATTAGTAATATGCAGAATCAGTGCAGTAGTCCTGCTGGCCCATTCTAGGCAAGTTCTTTTCAAGCCCAATGCTTTTTGACTATGTTTCATTCAACCTGATTTTAAGCTGCTAAAGGTTATAACATCAACCTAACCTAACCTAACCTAACCTAACCTAACCTAACCTAACCTAACCTAACCTAACCTAATCTAACCTAACCTAACCTAACCTAACCTAACCTAACCTAACCTTACCTAACCTAACCTAACCTAACCTAACCTAACCTAACCTAACCTAACCTAACCTAACTCTTCACATCACTATGCTCCCAGTATATACAGATGCTTCTTGCTTTATGATGGCTCGACTTACAATATTTTGACTTTACGATGATGAATTAGTGATGCACTTTCAGTACTGTACATTTATTAAGATAAACTTGTATTTATTTATTTACTTTTCAATACTGTTAGTTACAGTAATTATTTTTTTATTTACTTATTCAGTGACAGTTATTTATTTAATTATATATTTATCATTATTTATGTATCGCATTTAGTACACCTACCATCCGACTTACGACCGAGTTCGGTTCCGAGAAACTGGTCGTAAGTCGAAATGGTCGTAAGTCGAACTTTACTACTGAATATCAACAAAACATTTTTGTAATGACTTTATTTTATTGTTTTATTTTGGTATTTCATGTTTTACTTTAATTTTTATGTTGTTAGTACTGTATTTTATACTGTAAGGTTTAGGATAAGCTCTGTGTACAACACAAATACAGTGGACCCCCGCTTAACGATCACCTCCAAATGCAACCAATTATGTAAGTGTATTTATGTAAGTGCGTTTGTACGTGTATGTTTGGGGGTCTGAAATGGACTAATCTACTTCACAATATTCCTTATGGGAAAAAATTCGGTCAGTACTGGCACCTGAACATACTACTGGAATGAAAAAAGTTCGTTAACCGGGGGTCCACTGTAGTTGTTTATTTCCCAGAAATTTGGTATAAAAAACATGGTCGTAAGTCGAGTGGTCGTAAGTCGGATGGTAGGTGTATTTATCATATTTATGTGTTCATATTCAACCGGGTATTTTCAACTTACGATGGGTTTGATGGAAAAATAAACACAAATGCAGTATAATTTGATCTTTTATTGCTTACATTTTGCCTGCACACTGGGCTTTATCAAGTTACAAACAGCTCACCATTTGTGTCCATTTTTTCATCATGTTGGTATTTTATACCATTTATCTCCTACAGTGGGTTCATTGGAACGTAACCCCATTGTAAGTTGAGCACCTGTAGAGTCTTGGCCTCGTGCGATGTTTTCACCTACCACACATCACAGCTCATTTAAGCATTTTCTTTTTTTCAACATACTGGCTGTCTCCCACCAAGGCAGGTTACCCTAAAACAAAAATGAAAATTTAATTTTAAATTTATTAATTTATATAGGAGAAGGGGTTACTAGCCCCTTGCTCCAGGCATTTTAGTTGCCTCTTATGACACGCAAGCTTACAGAGGAAGAATTCTTTTCCACTTTCCCATCTAGATTGAAGTATACATTCCGAAAATATAATCGCCGAATCAGTTCCAGGAATACTGATGCAATATTCCTTTCAGAAACAAGAGCAGCGCAACATTCCCGAAGGTGAGAGCTTCACCCTGGAGGATCTGCAGCCCAACACTGTGTATAATATGTGGCTAGCTGCAAGGTCGCAGCGCGGGGAAGGAGCTGCCACAGCACCCATATCTGTTCGAACTGATCAGCACAGTGAGTCTCTTACTGTTTTGTGACTGTTATCACTGTGTTAACACTATGGTTGTTCACTGTATGTGTTGCTGCTGTGGTGGTTCACTGTATGTGTTGCTGCTGTGGTTGTTCACCATGTGTGTTACCACTGTGGTTGTTTACAGCATGTGTTACCACTGTGGTTGTTCACAGCATGTGTAACCACTGCGGTTGTTTACAGCATGTGTAACCACTGTGGTTGTTCACAGCATATGTTACCACTGTGGTTATTCATAGTATGTATTACCACTTGGACTCATAACTAAAGGATCTGGGTTGACCCTAGGATGAGTAAAAACATTGAGCATATTTCCTGACACCTGTTGCCATTGGTCACCTAGTAGTAAATAAGTACCTAAGTGGTAGTTGATCTTTGTGGGTCGGAACTTGGAGATTGTCATTAGAACATAGTTAGAACTGGGCTTTGAAATGAGCTGAGGTAGAATAAAAGAACTTGGGTTAAAAATTCACCAGGTTAAAAAGAATGGGCTGGTAGCTAACAAAATTAGAATACTGGTGGGTTGAAAGAAGCAGTTTAAAAAATGGAAAAGAATGGCTATTAGACGATATTATTCAAATCGCTTGCGCTGTCATGTATGAGAGAGACCTGCATTTACAGCATCTCTTTTCAGTGTTCCACGTTTTTATTGGCTTCAAATTGAGCCATTGTTCGTTATGTTTCAACCACCAGTGGTTTTCAACGGTGGGCGGAACAGTGCCTCAACTGAAAGCCAACAAAAACGTGGATCGCCAAAAAGAGGGCGCTGTGTATGTGAGGCTCTCATGTATAGAAGATCTTTTTGAGCTCACACTTTTTTTTAAGGCAGGAAAGATATCAGAGCTGGAAAATCTACTGATATATTTACTGCCCCTTGGAATTAATAAAACTTTTGAACTATACATGTTCAAATTCAGATTCTTTATTTCTTTTATGCAGTATACAGATAATGTTGTTTACAAGTAATGAAATTTGTTAGATACAAAAGAAAGTCACTAGCAAGTGATGTATTCTCTGGAACATAGGAGAGAGAGAGAGTGATAGATATAGAGAGATAGAGAAAGACATAATGCAGGTTGACCATCACAAACCTGGCATCACTGGGACCTGTAGGGTACTGGAACTGGCATGGTAAATCACAGGAAACTGTCATACCTTTGAAAGCCCTGGGACATAAACTTTTACCGATGACGCTAGCCGAAATCAATGCCGGATTAGTAATGGAACCAGATAAGTGATTGCCAGATCATTGATAGTCAACCTATAATATATGCTGTACTAGGAAAATACTTAAGGGCTTGGACCCAAATTTACACAGTTAAATAATGTAAAGAAGTGAGAGAGATGGAAGGAAATGTAGAATAAATCCAGAGAAAAACAGCTGCCCTAAATATGAGAAATATTACCAGATTTGAAGATATGAGAGATATCAGACATTGTACTTCCCACTTCTAGGACACAGTCCACTTAACAGGTTTCCCTAAATCTATTCATAATTGCAGTTGATTGTAAATTGTCTATATGTAACCCCTTCTCCTGTATAAATTAATTTTAAAAAGAGAAACTTTCATTTTTCTTTTTGGGTCACCCTGCCTCAGTGGGATATGGCCGGTTTGTTGAAAGAAGAAAAGTAAATAAACTTCAATGTGAGAAATATTAACAATTGTGTATTGACCTTACAGCCCCTGGTGCGCCCCCTAGTGACATTCGAGCTGTTGCTGAGGATTCCGAGAGCATCAGGGTGGAATGGCAGCCTCCGCCACTAGATAAACAGCACGGAGACATCACCTACTATAAACTCATGTTCGTCAACAATTCGAGGCCAGATTCAGATGCTTCAGTCATCACGATATCAGATCCTAACCAGCGCGAATATCTCATTACCAACTTGAAAAAATGGACCGAGTATCGTGTTTGGATGCTAGCAGGAACTGTTATAGGGGATGGGGTCAAGTCTGACCCCCAGTTGGTGCGCACGGACGAAGATGGTACGTATGAGGTGTCTTTATCTACATGTGGTGTTAAACTATACCATATCTTGGAGAAAATATTTTCTTATAAGTTTACTTGCAAATCACAAATATGTTTGAATGAATATACACATATAGGTTTTGCAGATCAATAATCTTGTATTGTCCCTCTGCTTATAAAAGTTTAAAAAACATAAAAAGGACAAATAATTAATCTTAAATACTGATTGAATTTCTTGAGACTGAAAGTAAGGCTTCTCATTATTTTCGAAAATCTAGTAGTTATTAAATATTAAGTGTACAGCAGATACCTGCTGTAAATATTAACCTGATACTTTATCCTCCTTCACTGCATGAGCACCAGGCACAGCCATAATGCACATAGATGATAATAGATTGGAAATTGAGGCCATCAGTGCTTGAACAGGCTTAACTAGTATCTGTAAAAATAATTCTAAGGCTTGCTGTAGTTTTGTGCACAAAGCCCAGAGTAGTAGAAGCCGTAAGCAAGATATCCCCCATAGGTCTAGACTGGACTGTCAGCATTGATGGCCCACTTGACTTTTCGACTGTACACTGTCTTCTGTGCCCAATTTCTCCTCAGGCCAACATCAAACATGCATACTGTGTAAGGAAGGGAAAAAGGAATACTGTTTGGTGATATACATTGACAGGTTTCTGGGTACTTAAGGGATATCACATAATGGCTGATTTCTTATAATCTGAGAGCATTCGTAACTTTTATTGTTGTTAAATACTGACGGATATCTTTTATCAACAAGACAGAATAAAATTTATTTTTGTCTTTTATGTACAAGACTTCGTAACATTTATTGTTAATTGCTGACAAGACAAAATTGTAATAACTAATAATATTTAAACTAAATTTAAGAATGGACTCAAGTTACGAAGAATTCAGACCAGGCTGGTAATAAATGCAAATGATCAGCTCAACTTTCAATAAAGGTTTAGTATCTTTCCTTTGAAGTTCTGAGAGCAAGACGTGCTTCAATGGAACGACATGCCAGATTTAGTACAAGTTGAACGCTGACATACAGTATACCGTACTTCAACATTACTCAAACTGCAAGATTTGACATAAATGTATCTCAAGGAACAACCAGAAATAATGGTTGACAAAAAGTATTGTCAGTCATCTTCTCACTACAAATATCTTAGGGATAACAAAATGTACACAGAACTGGGTCGTGGGTCATAGTATAAAAGGATATGACCTAGTATTGCCTATAGACAAGTGGAAAGTAAGCTTAACAAATGCATATACATTGATATATTGACAACTGCACAGTGCCATGTGTGTGCACACGTAGTGATCTGCACACGTAGTGATCTGCACATATAGTGATCTGCACATGAAGCGTTAACGCTTCACGAGACACTTACAGATTTGATATTCCACACCACATTTATGGATGACCCAGAAAGTCCTGAACACAATCCTGGCATTCTTACCAACATCTTGGTGTACCCGGGCATATTTTACTCGTCTACATTGTGCATACAGTAGCTATGGATTTTAACATGTGCATTTTTTCTGCTGTACGTACAGGTGATATATGTTGTCATATTCATTGAAAATTAGCTAATTTCAACTGAGAAAAAATTATTGTTCAAATAGGAAAATAAGTTTTTAATAATTTTATACACTTTGAAATGTTTCTTGCCAGTTTTTATAAAACTTGCAATTTATATTGTATACATTGTTTACTGAACTAAGAATGCCAGAATTTTAATACTGTACTAAACAAGACTTCAGAAATCACAGTAGAAGTTGATCACAGTACCAACATCAAAACTATCTGTAGCAGCCTTTTTCATGAACCTATGTCAAACTAACACACTTGTTTCCCTGCCCCTTACAAGGATACATTAGTAAGTACAGTTCCTGCGTACATGAGGACAGCCTTGCTCCACCCTACATCTTGGATGGTCCCCCTTGACAACATTGTAGAAATTTTCTCATCACAAGTACAGTCACATTTTTCTCCCAGATCAGACCTGTAACAGATTGATCCTCACAAGATTAGACCACTGAACCACTTATCAGGTCATGTATGAGAACTGTTTTGCTTCCCAGAATCGCCCCTTCTTGAACATTGATAAACAGTTCCTTGACCCTCCTCCTTGCTATTCACCGTAAACACCGCTGGCTCACGAACCCAAACATAATACCGTACCTTCTGTTCCTCTGTGCTGTTCTGCCTCTCAGGGAGAAATTCCTTTCGTTTCAATGTTTTATGCTTAGTAAATGTACACCTCATTTTTGTAAAAATACCTTTAGATAAAAACTAATTCCTTGAGCACTAACAAAAACTAAGTTCTTTATACATACATACAGTACAAGATTAACACTTCTGAATACAAATGATACATATACAGTACTTTAGCCAGATTGTATGTAGCATAAAGTACATCTTACTAAGCAGATCAATACCTAAAGTCAGCCAATACTATGCCATACATGTTTCCACCCTACAGCACTAAACACCTCTCATCCGTCATTACATAAAAGGAGAATGGCTTTAAACTTTAATAAAGCTTATATAACCCAATACAATGTTCAACCTTCTTCAGCAGTTGCAGAAGGATGTATTCCTTCAGGAACTGCTGTAAGGTGAATTTCTTTTGTAGCTGATGTTGGACGATGCTCTAAAAACAAATACAGTAATTTGGTTCGGTGGATTGTACATTGTCACCTGGTTTAAGATGGGGCCTTTAACGTCTTTTTTGCATAGTTGCTACTGATAGTTGATACTGGAAAATTCATCCACTACTCATTCCTGGATAAGTTTCTTCACTACCCAACAAGGGTGTTTTCATGATAGTTGCTGTAGGGTGGTTGAGTCCTGAACCATTGTGCGTGTGAACGCTGAGCACCGTGTAGTGGGTCTGTAGTGTTTATATTTTTGGTTCATCATCAATCTCCTAGTCTTTTGGTTGCTTTGTTTCTGTTTTGGTTGCCAAGGCTTTACACTCACTGTCACATGCACCAAGCACCACACTTTTTTTATACCTCTGTTCTTTCTCTGTCTCTCTTTCTTTCTACTTATTATTCTCTTCCCCATCAGCTATTAGCTATTTCTCTCATGCATGGTCTTCAACCTCCTTAACACTTTGTAGCCAAATATGTTGGTGTTAAGCGACTTACGGTGGGGTGTTGGCAGGCTATTGATGGCATTGTTTCCATTTTTTTCCTCTCTTGCCTTCCATGACAGCTGCTCCCGGGCGTAAGTAAACCAGGGTTTGTAATGCTATGTAGATGTGGTGCTAGTAAGTGGTACTGAGTCTGTTTCTACTTTTCATGCAGTTCCTTTTATTTTATTATACTAGTTTTATGACCTTTTTTCTTAGCCCGTGCTTTTGGATTTTTTTTTTCATGCACTGTTTACAATGTGTAAGAAACACTTCAATATTGTCATGTATAACTATTTTCTGAATTAAAATGCCAAGTGAAATGTCAAGTATTGGGTGCATATATAATGTCCAGAACCTGGTACGTACATGAATATGAAGTACCGTGTATGTGTGTAAATGTCAAGTACCAGGTATATAGTAATTGTTACTTACTGGATATATAATATATTTCAATTGCCGGCTATGTGCATAAATAGTTTTTATATTCTCTTTATAATAAATGTATTATTGATGTAAAACACATACAAATAATAGATAAAGTAAGTTGCGGCGCTGTGTATGGCACTGTATTTGGCACTATATTTACCGCCTGTCAGTAAATAGCAGACAAGTAACCTAGACTTTATAAAAGAAAATTCGGATGACGTTTTGGTTCTTCCTGGGCGGAAAAAATGTTCTAGGTTGGGCCAGAATATCTTGAAGTTTTCTTATCAGAGGACAGGTTATTTGTGCATCGTTCCAGCTATGGTATTGTGATTATTCTTCTGTGCTAATCAAATTCCATGTCCTATTTTGAGAATAAATATACATGGCAGAAATTTCTCACCTAGTTGCATAGTTTGTGCAGTGTTTATACCTAACTGTGAGGTGTGATGGAATGTCTTTGTATGTGACTGTCTGCCAACCAGTCAACCCTTCACTCCTACCCGTCTAAGCTGTGATGTTCCTCTCTATCCTCACCCACCTTTCTCATCCTCTAATTACGTGCAAGAAAGGGGCTGTCTTTCTGCTCATATAGCATCTCCTTTACTGTAGTCAAAAAATAAATAATCAGCATTCTATCCCCCTATTCAACTTGAAATGTGCTGTTTGTTTTTAGCGGTTATGTAAGTATTTGATGTGATTTTTTAAAAGTACACTTTCAGGTAATCCCCTTGGAAATTCAGGTAATATACAAATCCCACCCTAAACATTTTAAAATCCCAGTGAAGGGTATTTGCTAAGGTATCCCAGTAGAGTATTTGCTAAGGTATCCCAGTAGAGTATTTTTCTAAGGTATCCCACAACTTGCTATGATATCCCAAAGTTTTTCCATCCTTGGAGCATTTGCCAGGAGCATAAGGGATGCAAGTGTCTTTGTAGAACTAGAAATGTTACCTATTTTATCAGTCTATGGGTCCTTACTGGGTGTGGTGTGTCAAACAAGTGTAAAAAAAAAACTTTATTCTTTTATTCATGGGGAAGTGCTAAATCTGTATGGGTCATACAGCACCTGCCAAGACCTAATGACTTAAATTAAAAAATAAAAGCTGGATAAATATATAGCCACACGGCTACATCTCAGAAAGCAATAGATATGTACCAAGAAGCAACGAGGCTTTGGATAAATTGTATCTGTGTTTCATAGAAAGAAATTAAGTCAGATAAAAATCTTCATTCATGGAATGTTGCTCACTTGATTAAGAAACCGTAACAGTGTTCACCAACGAACAGAGTTAATAACGAACAGAGTTAATAGTTAACAGAGTTAATTATTAACACTGTTTTATGGGACCTTTTTTTCTAATGTCATGGATCATAAGATCATTATGTTCTGTATAATTTAATTATTTAATATGTTACAAGTTTGAAATGCATTTTTTGTTGGAAATTATTAACAGAAGGACGTAAATTATTAATGTCTGATAATTTTGGGTAAATGTTTGGTAACATTATTGTGGGCATTTAAAATTGCTTCAGTACTGGGAGAGATAAATGTTAGTTTTAGTCATATGGTTGTTACTGGTTATTATTGGTAATTATTAGACCTTTAGTTAGCTTCTCTTACAGTTGTCATCTTCAAGTACATTATACACCTGCTGGGGTGATGGTACGTATTTCTCTATAACATTTATAATGTGTCTTCTTTGAAGGCTGTAGGCTGTGTAATGTTCTTTCATATATGTATCAAAGATTTTTTTTTTTTATGAAAAATGATTGTGACATGAGCTTTTCTGATGGTGAGGCATCGTTAGTGTTTATTGAAGCGAAGGTTAATCTTTTTTATTAATCTTTTAGTTCCTGGCGAACCACATAATGTTAAAGTGGACGTGATCAATAGTACGAGCATCGAGGTGACTTGGACGCCTCCAAACGAGAGAGAGAGGCATGGCATTATTCGAGGATACCAAATCCACATACAAGAGATAGAAGGACGGGTAAGGATGTGTCGTGGACTATTTCTGTTATTTTCTTCAATATCTACGCTGTGATGTCAGTGCACCTCTAGCAAGACAGCGATTCGGTGAATAACATTGAAGGCATTACCCGTTTTTTTTGGGTCACTATGTTCAGGGGTGAACAGCCAGCATTTTTTCACCTATATAAGGTAACTCAAAGAAGAAACATTCATTCAAAATTATTCATTCACTAGCTGTCTTGCTGAGAGTGTACAGACGTAACAGTCCATATAGCCATCCTAACTGTAACATTGCCACTCGTCCTTCAGACTCCATGCCGCCATTATGTCATGGATTATTCATACTATATCTTCATAAATGGTACTTTTAAAGAAATAATTGAACCATGTGAGGCCTGGTCATAAACTGGGCCATGGGGGCATTGACCCCCCAAAACACCCTCCAGGTAGACTCCAGGTAGGTAGATATGTACATGCATACAGGTGCTTCTCAACTTACGATGGGGTCGTGTTCCAGTGAACCCATCAGAAGTTGAAAATATTGTACGTCGAATGTGATACAAATAAATAAATAAATATTGGCACTGAATAAGTAAATAAACTACCTAAATACCAGAATTGAAAAGTAAATAAATGAATATAGCTATATTCTATCAATAAATGTACAGTACTGAATGTGCATTGATATTATATCATCGTAAAGTCGAAGTATCGTAAGCCAAACCATCATCAAATGAGGAACATCTGTATTTATTATACTGCACAATATAGATTTATCATCCACTTAGAATTACCATAACATAAACTTATATTTTGCAAACTTTACTTAAGAAACATTGAAGAAAAAAAAGAGGGAGAGAAATCAATAAATTTTGAGTTTCAGTTAGTTTATTTTAGGAAATATGTAAAGCTCCAGCAAGCATGAGTGTGTTAGGAGTGAATGGAGGTGAATGGTTTTTGGGACCTGACGAGCTGTTGGAGTATGAGCAGGTTATTATTTTGTGAAGGGATTTGGAGAAACCGGTTAGCCGGACTTGAGTCCAGGATGTGGGAAGTACAATGCCTGCAGTTTACGTTCACATGTGTAGCGCTCCAAAAGTAGATGTACGCTTTTTTACATATTTCCAAATGTGAAAAAAAAAAGTTGATCAAAGTTTTTTACACGTCAAATGTAAAAAAAGAAGAGATATATTTTTATCATACTTTCAAATGTTGAAAAAACATAGATCTACTTTTGGACAGTTTAAGGGTTAAAGGAGGAGTTTTGGGATATTAACTGTTCGGAGTGACACCTAAACTGTCGTATCTGAGCGCCTGTGCAGAGACAGTGATTATGTATGAATGATGGTGAAAGTTTTTTTTTTTCTTTTGGGGTTTTTCTTTCTTTTTGGGTCACCCTGCTTTGGTAGGATATGGCCGACGTGTTTAAAAAAAAAAATTTCTATACAGGAGAGCCCGACTTATACAGCAGGATAGGTTCAGGGTTATTGCTGTAAAGTGAAACATATCCCTTTTTCAATTTCAAATGCATATAAAAGCCTGATAACATTTATTGTTAAGTGAGCAATAGAGATAGGCCTAAAATTGCATATACAGTACACACATTACTTAAAAATATTTTCATCCTTAGCACTTAGTGAGTGGTGAATATATTTATTGTGGGAAATCTGAATAAATGAAGAATGGTTATAATTGAAAACTGCTGCATTAGCAAAATGCTGTAATGTGGTTGGCCTAGGAAAGGTTGGAAGGAGGGGGTAAAAGAGGTTTTGTGTGCGAGGGGCTTGGACTTCCAGCAGGCATGCGTGAGGGTGTTTGATAGGAGCAAATGGAGACAAATGGTTTTTAGGACTTGACGTGGTGTTGGAGTGTAAGCAAGGTAACATTTATGAAGGGATTTAGGGAAACTGACAGGCTAGGCTTGAGTCCTGGAGATGGGAAGTACAGTGCCTGCACTCTGAAGGAGGGGTGTTAATGTTGCAGTTTTCTAACTGTAGTATTAGCGCACCTCTGGCAAGACAGTGATGGAGTGAATAATGGTGAAAGTTTTTCTTTTTTGGGCCACCCTGCCTTGGTGGGAAACAGCCAATGTGTTAATAAAAAAATAATGATAATACATATGTATTTTTTTTTTTCAACAAACCGTCCATATCCCACCAAGGCAGGGTGACCTAAAAAAAAAATGAAAGTTTCTCTTTTTAAGTTTAGTAATTTATACAGAAGAGGCAACTAACATGCTCCTGGCATGTTAGTTGCCTCTTACGACATGCATGACTTACAGAGGAAGCATTCTGTTCCACTTTTTCATGGAGATAAAAGGAAATTAAAAAGAGCAAGAACTGTTAACAAAATAGAAGAAAGCTCGGGTAGACGTGTACATGCATGTGTAGAACATGATGGTAGTTCCTCCCTATGTGGTTGCTGTCTGTCAGCCTACTATTTTTTTTATTTTTATTAGCACACAGGCCGATTCCCACCAAGGCAGGGTGGCCCGAAAAAGAAAAACTTTCACCATCATTCACTCCATCACTGTCTTGCCAGAGGTGCACTAACATTACAGTTATAAAACTGCAACATTAACACCCGTCCTTCAGAGTGCAGGCACTGTACTTCCCATCTCCAGGACTCAAGTCCGGCCTGCCGGACCTACTACCTCGGTATTATTATTATTAAAGAGAGCTACTAGTGTGCAGTGCATTTTGAGTAAACTAATTTATATAATTTACGTGAAGAAAGTCTGTTTATTATTACGGCTGTTTTCTTATGGATGGTACGTTTGATACTTTTACCCCATTGCTGCACTTTTCATTATTATCACCTGCTATCAAAGTTTTCTTAGATTTTTTGGGTATACACCTACCATCTGACTTATGACCTGCTCAACATGTGACCACTCGACTTACGACCGTGTTTTTTATGCCAGATTTCTTGGGAAATAAACAAATGTTTGTGTTGTACACAGTGTTTATCCTAAACCTTACAGTATAAAATACAGTACTAACAACATAAAAAGTAAAGTAAAAAATGAAATACCAAAATAAAACAATAAAATAAAGTCATTACAATAGTGTGATGTTGATATTCAGTAGTAATATTCGACTTATGCCCATTTTAACTTACGACCGGTTGGTCGGAACCAAGCTTGGTCATAAGTCGGATGGTGCCTGTATACATATTGTGTTTTGAGATCACTTGTGTAGTGTGAATATTATGCATAGAATTAGGAGTCTAGAAATTATAAAACTGTGAGGAGTGTGGATGGTATAATTCAGAGATGGGAGTCGAGATGGTTTAGTCATTTAGAAAAGTTCGGAAAAAGATAGGTTGACCAAGAGGCTAGGTAACTCTGGAGTGGTTGGAAGGAGAGGTAAGGGATATCCTAGAAAGGTTTTTGAAGGACGAGTAAGGGATATCCCAGGAAGGATAAGTAAGAGATATCCCAATAAGAGTTGGAAGGAGAGGTAAGACATATCCCAGTAAGATTTAATATTTTTTAAAAATTTTAGCTAATGATCTCCTTGTAAGAGACACTGAACTCAACGTATTTTTATTTTCCAGGGGGAAGGTCATGTAGTTGACAGCCTGAGTCCGTACACCGTTCACAACGGCGAGGCGACCAGCTTCATTGTCACCAACCTGCATCCTGACACCGAGTACCAGGTGCAGGTGTCAGCCATAACCAGGAAGGGTGATGGTGTCAGGTCGGCACCAGAGAGAGTGCAGATGCCTGGCGGTGTGCCTGACAAACCTGCTCTCATTGTTAAGTAAGTTCCTCACCAATTGTGCATTATTATTATTGTTGTTACGCTTATTATTTTATTATTATTGTTACTATTATTATTATTATTAGTTTTTTCAACAAACTGGCCATATCCCACCAGGCAGCATGACCTAAAATGAAAACTGAAAGTTACTCTTTTTAACTTTAGTAATGTTTACAGAAGGGGTTACTTGCTCCTGGCTATTATTATTATTATTTTTTTTTTTTTTTTTTTTTCAACAAGTCGGCCGTCTCCCACCGAGGCAGGGTGACCCAAAAAAAAAGAAAGAAAATCCCCAAAAAGAAAATACTTTCATCATCATTCAACACTTTCACCACACTCACACATTATCACTGCTTTTGCAGAGGTGCTCAGAATACAACAGTTTAGAAGCATATATGTATAGAGATACACAACATATCCCTCCAAACTGCCAATATCCCAAACCCCTCCTTTAAAGTGCAGGCATTGTACTTCCCATTTCCAGGACTCAAGTCCGACTATATGAAAATAACCGGTTTCCCTGAATCCCTTCACTAAATATTACCCTGCTCACACTCCAACAGATCGTCAGGTCCCAAGTATCATTCGTCTCCATTCACTCCTATCTAACACGCCCACGCACGCCCGCTGGAAGTCCAAGCCCCTCGCCCACAAAACCTCCTTTACCCCCTCTTTCCAACCCTTTCGAGGACGACCCCTACCCCTCTTTCCTTCCCCTATAGATTTATATGCTTTCCATGTCATTCTACTTTGATCCATTCTCTCTAAATGACCAAACCACCTCAACAACCCCTCTTCTGCCCTCTGACTAATGCTTTTATTAACTCCACACCTTCTCCTAATTATTATTATTATTATTATTATTATTATTTTTTTATTATTGCTCCATAACAAAATATCCCAAGTGCTCTATGTCTTTAAGCATCACTTATTGATATCATATTTATCAGGTTTCCACCTTATTGCCATGTAATACTACATGCCGAACAAGCGATCATTGGTTAATCCATGATCTTTTATAACTTACTGTTTATCAGATGGATAATTGCATTGTAATTAATTTTTATTTAATTGCATTTCAGTGGTACTGTTGATAAACAAACGGGAAAACTCTCTGTTTATGTGGAGTGGGTGGCCCCAACAGAAACTTATGGAGAAATTATGGGGTATCGTCTTAGATACGGACCTAGAGGTAAGTCCGCTTCAATTAGATATTAGTACATAGATAACCTGCACATAGGAGAGAGAAGCTTACGACGATGTTTCAGTCAGACTTGGACCATTGACAAAGTTAGTGCGATTTTGTAAATGGTCCAAGTCTGACCAAAGCATCATTGTAACCTTCTCTCTCTTCTAAGTGCGGGTTATTTGCATATTGTTCCAATCACGGTATTGTGCCATTTGTTCTTTGGATATTGGTTATTGTTATTTACTGAGTGTACCTGGCCATGGGGCCGGATACACTCACTTTTGTCTCTCTTGTTAGAGTTCATTGGTTCGAACCAAAATCGTTGACGCGAAGTTTGGTTTTAAAAAAGAAGATTAGTGATATTTTTTGATCATTGAATATTAGAAAGCTGTACATGAAGTTTTCTTCTATTTACTGTAAATATAATATGAGGTTTTCATAGCTCCTAACAACCTCCACTTAAGTGAAAAACCTCATTTTGGTTCTGGATCATTGTCAAGTCACAACTCGGGTAAACAGAGTAGAGAATACCTAAAGATGATATGTAGGAAGTGGGGGAAGAAGTGGTAGAGGTGGCATTATTATTGTTGTTATTTTTATTAGTAGTAGTAATAGTAAAGGTAGGAAAGGTAGGGGGGGTGTGGACCAGGTGTTTACAGTGAAACATATAAGTGAACAGTATTTAGATAAGGCTAAAGAGGTCTTTGTGGCATTTATGGATTTGGAAAAGGCGTATGACAGGGTGGATAGGGGGGCAATGTGGCAGATGTTGCAGGTGTATGGTGTAGGAGGTAGGTTACTGAAAGCAGTGAAGAGTTTTTACGAGGATAGTGAGGCTCAAGTTAGAGTATGTAGGAAAGAGGGAATTTTTTTCCCAGTAAAAGTAGGCCTTAGACAAGGATGTGTGATGTCACCGTGGTTGTTTAATATATTTATAGATGGGGTTGTAAGAGAAGTAAATGCGAGGGTCTTGGCAAAAGGCGTGGAGTTAAAAGATAAAGAATCACACATAAAGTGGGAGTTGTCACAGTTGCTCTTTGCTGATGACACTGTGCTCTTGGGAGATTCTGAAGAGAAGTTGCAGAGATTGGTGGATGAATTTGGTAGGGTGTGCAAAAGAAGAAAATTAAAAGTGAATACAGGAAAGAGTAAGGTTATGAGGATAACAAAAAGATTAGGTGATGAAAGATTGGATATCAGATTGGAGGGAGGGAGTATGGAGGAGATGAATGTATTCAGATATTTGGGAGTGTCAGCGGATGGGTCTATGAAAGATGAGGTGAATCATAGAATTGATGAGGGGAAAAGGGTGAGTGGTGCACTTAGGAGTCTGTGGAGACAAAGAACTTTGTCCTTGGAGGCAAAGAGGGGAATGTATGAGAGTATAGTTTTACCAACGCTCTTATATGGGTGTGAAGCCTGGGTGATGAATATTGCAGCGAGGAGAAGGCTGGAGGCAGTGGAGATGTCATGTCTGAGGGCAATGTGTGGTGTGAATATAATGCAGAGAATTCGTAGTTTGGAAGTTAGGAGGAGGTGCGGGATTACCAAAACTGTTGTCCAGAGGGCTGAGGAAGGGTTGTTGAGGTGGTTCGGATCTGTAGAGAGAATGGAGCGAAACAGAGTAACTTCAAGAGTGTATCAGTCTGTAGTGGAAGGAAGGCGGGGTAGGGGTCGGCCTAGGAAAGGTTGGAGGGAGGGGGTAAAGGAGGTTTTGTGTGCGAGGGGCTTGGACTTCCAGCAGGCATGCGTGAGCGTGTTTGATAGGAGTGAATGGAGACAAATGGTTTTTAATACTTGACGTGCTGTTGGAGTGTGAGCAAAGTAACATTTATGAAGGGGTTCAGGGAAACTGGCAGGCCGGACTTGAGTCCTGGAGATGGGAAGTACAGTGCCTGCACTCTGAAGGACGGGTGTTAATGTTGCAGTTTAAAAACTGTAGTGTAAAGCACCCTTCTGGCAAGACAGTGATGGAGTGAATGATGGTGAAAGTTTTTCTTTTTCGGGCCACCCTGCCTTGGTGGGAATCGGCCAGTGTGATAATAAAAAATATAGTAATAGTAGTAATAATATTAGTAATAGTGGTAGTAATATTAGTAATAGTGGTAGTAATATTAGTAATAGTGGTAGTAATATTAGTAATAGTGGTAGTAAAATTAGTAATAGTGGTAGTAATATTAGTAATAGTGGTAGTATTATTAGTAATAGTAGTAGTAATATTAGTAATAGCAGTAGTAATATTAGTAATCGTAGTAGTAATATTGGTAATTGTAGTAGTAATATTAGTAATTGTAGTAGTAATATTAGTAATAGTGATAGTAATGCAGTGGAACCTTGACTTACGAGTGTCTTTGCGTACGAGTTTTTTGTTTGCTGGAAGATTTCTGTAGCAATGGTTTACTTCCGCAGGAGAAGAACTTGAGACCATAACTTTGGAAGGCCATTCAATGCTGCACAAAACATTAAACGACTTGCAGCGAGGCATCGAATACGAAATAAGAGTGGCTGGTCGTAACCACATAAATTATGGTCAAGAGGCTGTCAAATATTATATTACTCCAGAGGCTGCTCCTTCAGGACCTCCCACCAATATTACTTACAGGTTTGTGGATTTAGCTTCTGTAAGCAAATCTTCAGTATTTTACTAGCTTTTAACCCTTAAACTGTCCAAACATAGATCTACGTTTGGACAGTTAAAGGGCTAATATATGTGGATACAGATGTTTGTTGCTTTATGATGGTTCCACTTATGGTATTTTCACTTCACGATGGTGTGATAGCAGTGCTGTACAGTACTGTACATTTATTGATGGGATAAATTTATATTCATTTATTTGCTTTTTAATACTATTTAGTTACAGTAGTTATTTGTTAATTTACTCATTCAGTGACAGTAGTTATTTATTTATTATATCATTCGACTTACAATATTTTCAACATGTGTTGGGTTTGTTGGAACGTAACCGTGATATTTTCAACTTTTGATGTTTTTTTTTGGAACGTAACCGTGATATTTTCAACTTTTGATGTTTTTTTTTGGAACGTAACCGTGATATTTTCAACTTTTGATGTTTTTTTTTGGAACGTAACCGTGATATTTTCAACTTTTGATGTTTTTTTTTGGAACGTAACCGTGATATTTTCAACTTATGATGGGTTTGTTGGAACGTAACCCTGATATTTTCAACTTTTGATGGGTTTGTTGGAACGTAACCCTGATATTTTCAACTTTTGATGGGTTTGTTGGAACGTAACCCTGATATTTTCAACTTATGATGGGTTTGTTGGAACGTAACCCTGATATTTTCAACTTTTGATGTTTTTTTTGGAACGTAACCCTGATATTTTCAACTTTTGATGGGTTTGTTGGAACGTAACCCTGATATTTTCAACTTATGATGGGTTTGTTGGAACGTAACCCTGATATTTTCAACTTATGATGGGTTTGTTGGAACGTAACCCTGATATTTTCAACTTTTGATGGGTTTGTTGGAACGTAACCCTGATATTTTCAACTTTTGATGGGTTTGTTGGAACGTAACCCTGATATTTTCAACTTATGATGGGTTTGTTGGAACGTAACCCTGATATTTTCAACTTATGATGGGTTTGTTGGAACGTAACCCTGATATTTTCAACTTATGATGGGTTTGTTGGAACGTAACCCTGATATTTTCAACTTTTGATGGGTTTGTTGGAACGTAACCCTGATATTTTCAACTTTTGATGGGTTTGTTGGAATTTAACCCCCAATTAAATCAACAAGCACCTAGAAATAAATACATCTAATTATAGAGATCTGTTTATGTGTTATATTTTTGTGGTATTGGTACAAATCTAGGAATAAAAATAGAAAATATTAACCTTTAATATTCTTATATGTACGATCATTGATTGCAATGTCTGAATAATTTACTGGCCAGGGTAAAAAATATTGAAAATTGCCAAGAAAGACAGGAAAATCTATACACTGAAGGTGAGGCATTGCTGATAGTACGTAAGGGTGAAGTCGTTATCTAAACTGTGATGAATTAGACATCTACACAACATCTGGGTTTTGTTCAAAGTTAAAAGTTTTAAAGAGGACACTGTACCTCTATATCCAAGAAATATCTGATCATTTAGGTTGTTGGGCTGTACACTAGCAGGTTAGTTTAGGTTAAGAGTCATCACAAAACATTACATTTCTTTCACACAGTTGAGTTACTTAGCTGTTTTAATTTTTAAGGTTAAAATAAGATAAATATTACAAGGACCTCATTGGCAATGAGTCACTTTGTCTGGCGTTTTTTGGTTATCCTAGGTAATTTATACTTGTATGATAATTGTATATATGTGTATCTGTGCCTAAATAAATTTACTTCCTGACGTGGGTGCAAGCTGTATGATGACCCGCAGCTGGAGCTTTCAGAAGTCATCTGACTGAGGCCTTCCGCCGGCTTACCCCTCCACAGTACCTGCACTCTGAAGGAGGGGTTAGGGATATTTTCTGTTTAGAGTGATATCTAAGCTGTCATATCTGTGTACCTATGGCAAGACTTTCTTAGCATGAACGATGGTGGAAGTGTTTCTTTTCCGGGTCACTCTGCCTGAGTGGGACACAGCCAGTGTGTTAAAAAAAAAAAAAAAATTCTTGTAGACTCTCAGCAGTTGCTTGATTAACCAGGCACTCTTAAGTTTCGTCTTCCAAGTAATTTCTTTCACCCTTTTCTTCTAGCCAGAAGCACCATCGTCAAGTCGAAATATCACAAGTTGAGCTGTCATAAAGTGAGGAGCATCTGTACTCATTACATTTGCCAATTTTAATATTTGGTTAATCTGTCCCTAATTCTTGGTTTATGTTTTCACAGATATCAAACTCCAGGGACGATTGTGTTCACCTGGGACCAGCCAGCACCCAATGAGAGAAATGGTGTCATTATCCTTTATGAGTTACAGTTCAGCAAGAATGTCATCCTCAACAACGATTTCAAACATGATAAAAATGTCACTGATAGTAATCGCATTGTTTTTAATGGTTTAGAAGAAAATATGGATTATACATTTAAGGTGAGGCATTGCTCATTATTCTTTCTTAATTGTTATTTTTTTAACACTGGACATCTCCCACCAAAAAAGGTGACCTAAAAAAGAAGAAATGTAAAGTTTTTCTTCTATTTACATTTAGTAATATATACGGGAGAAGAGGTTACTAGCCCCTTGCTCCCGGCATTTTAGTTGCCTCTTACGACACGCATGGCTTACAGAGGAAGAATTCTTCTCCACTTCCTCATGGGGTTGCTCATTTATAGTCGTCAAAATTTTCTTGTTTTTCAAATAGAGAATTGACATTCTTCAAAAAGACAAAATTAGTTTTTAAAATTTTTGTTTTGGATCTTCTTATTGAATAATAATAATAATTTATTTTTTTTATTAACACACTGGCCGTTTCCCACCAAGGCAGGGTGGCCCTAAAAAGAAAAACTTTCACCATCATTTACTCCATCACTGTCTTGCCACAAGAGAGCTTACACCAGTTATAAAGCTTTAACATTAACACCCCTCCTTCAGAGGGGTGTTAATGTTAATCTCCAGGATTCAAGTCCGGCCTGCCGGTTTCCCCGAATCCCTTCATAAATGTTACCATGCTCACACTCCAACAGCACGTCAAGTATTAAAAAACATCTGTCTCCATTCACTCCTATTAAATATGCTCATGCATGCTTGCTGGAGGTCCAAGCCCCTCACACACAAAACCTTCACCCACTCCCTCCAACCTTTCCTAGGTGGACCTCTACCCTGCCTTCCCTCCACTACAGATTTATACACTCTCGAAGTCCTTCTGTTTTGTTCCATTCTCTCTACATGTCTGAACCACCTCAACAACCCGTCCTCAGCCCTCTGGACAACAGTTTTGGTAATCCCGCACCTCATCCTAATTTCCAAACTACGAATTCTCTGCATTATATTCACACCACACATTGCCCTCAGACATGACATCTTCACTGCCTCCAGTCTTCTCCTTGTTGCAATATTTACCACTCATGCTTCACACCCATATAAGAGTGTTAGTATAACTATACTCTCATACATTCCCCTTTTTGCCTCCACAGACTCCTAAGTGCACCACTCATCCTTTTCCCCTCATCAGTTCTGTGATTCACCTCATCTTTCATAGACCCATCTGCTGACACGTCCACTTCTAAATCTCTGAATATATTCACCTCCTCCACTCTCTCTCCCTCCAATCTGATATCCAATCTTTCATCACCTAATCTTTTTGTTATCCTCATCACCTTACTCTTTCCTATATTCACTCTTAATTTTCTTCTTTTACATACCCTACCAGACTCATCCATCAACCTCTGGAACTTCTCTTCAGAATCTCCCAAAAGCACAGTGTCATCAGCAAAGAGCAACTGTGACAACTCCCACTTTGTATTAGATTCTTTACCTTTTTATTTGTACAAGTACATGTGCAAAGTATATAGACCATAATGGACATCAGTGACATAGTACTGTATAGAAACCCGCTTGTTAGGCAGAGCATTTCAGGCAAATTAGATCAGTTTTGTTCTCAGGATGCAACCCACACTAATCAACTAACACCCAGGTACCTATTTTGCTGATAGGTGAGCATGGACAGTAGGTGTCTTATGGAAACATGTCCTAATGTTTCCAGCCATATTGGAGATCAACCCCCGGACCTCATTGTGTGAGCTAAGTGCGCTATCAGTCGAGCTATTTACTTACATGTGTTCAGTACAGTAATAATTACACTACTCATCGATGTATATGGAATGCATGTATTCAAGGTTATTGATACAAATAGATGCTGTTGTATTAATCTCAACATACACAGCATCAATCTACACTCAGAGTATGTTTTGCAACACAAGAGTGCTTAAGTACATATCTATGGTGAGTCCCAGGTAAACAGAAACTGGCCAGGGAGGTACTACCGTCCTACCAAGTGAGTCTCAGATGGAAACCTGTAATTGTTTTACATGATGGTAGGATTGCTGGTGTCTTTTTTTCTGTCTCAATAACATGCAAGATTTCAGATATGTCTTGCTACTTCTACTTACACTTAGGTCACACTACACATGCATATACAAGTACAAGTATATATACAGTGGACCCCCAGTTTACAATCAGCTCCCAATGCGACCAATTATGTAAGTGTATTTATGTAAGTGCGTTTGTATGTGTATGTTTGGGGGGTCTGAAATGGACTAATCTAATTCACAGTATTCCTTATGGGAACAAATTCGGTCAGTACTGGCACCTGAACATACTTCTGGAATGAAATAATATCGTAAACCGGGGGTCCACTGTATACACACACCTCTGGCTTTTCTTCTAATTTCTTACTTGTTCTTGTTCTTGTTGTTTATTTCTTCTTATCTCTATGGGGAAGTGGAACAGAATTCTTCCTCCGTAAGTCATGCGTGTTGTAAGAGGCAACTAACATGCCGGGAGCATGTTACTAAAGTTAAAAAGAGGAACTTTTGTTTTTCTTTTTGGGCCACCCCGCCTCAGCAGGATATTGCGAGTTTGTTGAAAGAAGATAGAAGAAATACTGTGTAGGAGTAGTAAGAGCTGGATTTGAATAGGACTGTCCTAGCATCAGTACTAGGATTATTGAAGCTTGGGTATCTTTGAGAGTATTTACATTGCTGTATGATGCTTAACCACTTTCATAAAACGACATACTTTAAAAGTTAACTTTTTTATTTTTCCACTTTTTAGCTGCCCCCTTGGACTGTACTGCCCAGGGCAGCCTTACCACTTGCCTCCTCCTATCTATGCAGCTGAGTTGATGTAATGGCATGTGGATGGGGGTTATCCTGGCTCTTTTCAGTCTGCAAAGATGTATTCTTCAAGTGATTTGTTGAAAAAGCACTGAAATAGGGAGAAATAATACTTGTGCAGAAAACAGAGAGTGATGGTGTTATGAAGTTAGTGGACCTCTAGGGAAGTAAGCATTTTCTAGGTGTTATGAAGTTAGCGGACCTCTAGGGAAAAAGCATTCTCTAGGTGTTATGAAGTTAGTGGACCTTTAGGAGATAAGCATTTGCTACGTGTTATGAAGTTAGTGGACCTCGAGGAGGTAAGCATTCTCTAGGGGTAAGCCTTAAACAAAATTATTAAAATAAAACCACCCAAAGGCCAGACTCATGAATAGGTCTAAACACTCTCTTATAGATAATGATGGGTGTTACTACCGTGCTGTCAGGTGAAGCTTTATGATTTAATGACTGCTGTTGTCTCAGAGGTTGTGGTAGGAGCCAAGTAAGAAAGAGTCTGGGTAATTATTGATACTTAATACTGATGTTGGTATGGGCCGCTGGGATGGTGGCAAGATGAGTTCCTATAAATATTGTGTACCAATGTTGTGTGGTATTAACCTAGATAATTGATACCGATATATTGGTTTAAAAAGACAAGTAAGCAGATACTATGACATATTTATTAGAAAACATTTTGGTGTAGGGACCAACCCACAAGGATCAGTTTTAGGTCCATTGTTGTTCATAATATACATTAATAATCCTGATGAGGGAATAACGAGTGATATGAATTGTATATATTGTATATATGAGGATGTTGTAGTTTGGAGTGCCATTTGAAATGTGATGTCTGCATGCATCTGGCAAGATGGCAATTGAACGAATGATGGTGAAGATGGTGGGAGATGACCTTTGTGTTACAAACATAAAGAAACATTCTTTTGTTTATTCTTACATTTTACATTATTACTATTATTCATAATACAGGTACGAGCATGGACTTCGAAAGGTCCTGGACCGTACAGTGAGACCTTGCACCTCCACACTGAGCCAGACCTTGTCCGTGCCCCCATGAACCTCCAAGGCCTCGCGACATCAGAATCGTCCATTGAAATCTGGTGGGAGCCAGTCCCTTCGCGTGGCAAAGTCATAGGATATCAGGTTTGTACCTTAGTGACTTTGGGTCTGTTACTGTAGTAGAACAAGGTTGTTAAGTAGCGTAAATGTCCGGATAATTTGTTATCTACAATAATTCACACTGCCTAAAATAATTTGTGATGCCTATAATAATTCATAGTACCTATAATAATTTGCAATAAATGATTTTCATAATTCATAATCCTATAATAATTTGTAATGGATGATTATAATATTTAGTAATAGCTGTCATAATTCATGTTGAATTATTTTTTTTACAAATTGACCATTTCCCACCGAGGCAGGGTGACCCAAAAAAGAAAAAATATCTGTAATAATTTAACAGAGTGATGAGATTCAAACTCATAGCTTGTGATCACTAGGATGTTGCGTTCTCTTAAAATCCTTTGTGGATTAGTGAACTTGGGCAATGATCTGGTAATCCCAGATCATCACTTAAGTTCCAATTATTGATTTAATATTTATGCCTTGATGTGTTGTTGAAGTGTGAGCAATGTAACATTTTTGAAAGTGTTGAGGGAAACCGGTTAGCCGGACTTGAGTCTTGGAGGTGGAAATTACAGTGCCTGCACTCTGAAGGACGAGTGAAGATATTGCAGTTCTGAGGGTCATCTGAATTGTGATGTCAGCACACTTCTGGGAAGACAGTAATTAAATGAATTATGGTGAATACGTTTCCTCTTTTTTTTGGGGGGGGATGGGGGGATCACCTTACTTCAGTGGGAGACGGCTGGTGTTTTAAACAAAATGTTGGTGACAGAAAGAGAGAATGTACATACCTATGTACAGTTCTCTATATTTTAACACTGACATTACAGTACATACTTATTTAAGTTTGCAAGTGAGGGGGAGGCACAGTGACCACCAACTCTTGGTCCTTCCTCTCAATTTTTGTGTGTATGATTTTTTTTTTTTTTTAACACCGGCCGTCTCCCACCAAAGCAGGGCGACCCGAAAAAAAAGAAAAAAAAAGTTTTTCCTTTTACATTTAGTAATCTATACAAGGTAAGGTGTTACTACCACCTTGCTCCTGGCATTTTAGTTGCCTCTTACGACACACGTGGCTTACAGACCCAGGCTTCATCTCTGTTTTGCCTAACTAGTCATAAGTTGGCCTGTGATACTCCAATACTGAACCTTTGTATTGTGCCAAAACAAAAGCATTCACATTGCTAAACTCACAAACTAGTATTTAGTCACTTAGCCATAATACCAACTTACCTCATAATTTGTAATATTTTAAATTTAAGATTTAATCTAAGTCTGCCCGAAATGCCTAGCCATGCTAGGTGTTCTAGTGGCATACTCTGTAATGCCTAGCCATGCTAGGTGTTCTAGTGGTACACTCTGTAATGCCTAGCCATGCTAGGTGTTCTAGTGGCATACTCTGTAATGCCTAGCCATGCTAGGTGTTCTAGTGGTACACTCTGTAATGCCTAGCCATGCTAGGTGTTCTAGTGGTACACTCTGTAATGCCTAGCCATGCTAGGTGTTCTAGTGGCATACTCTGTAATGCCTAGCCATGCTAGGTGTTCTAGTGGTACACTCTGTAATGCCTAGCCATGCTAGGTGTTCTAGTGGTACACACTGTAATGCCTAGCCATGCTAGGTGTTCTAGTGGTACACTCTGTAATTATTATTTCACTACATGTAAACCACACAATAACCAAATTTTGTGAACTCAGCATTGTAATCCTTATAGAGAATAAACTTTGAATTTGAATTTGAATTGAATTGTATGAAAATAATGTAGATAATTTTAATGAAAGACAATAATTCAGCTAAGAGTCTTTTGAGATGGAAAAATAAGTAAACTCTCGGAGACTATTGTATAAATTCAAAGGTTACTTAGGTTGGTTGAAGCAATAGAAAATAATTTATTTAAAGAAATGGGGCTGGGCCCGGCACCTTTTCTAGTGTCAGTTTTCACCATTTGAAATTAATTGTACATGACTCACAAAATTGTAACAAGACGATTACAAACAAACCAGGGAACAGGATGGGTTTGAACCCATGGCTAGTGAGTCGTAAAACTAACAGGCCAGTGCATTAACACACTTGCCACGGGTTCAGACCCTCGCCCATTCCCTGATTTGATTGTACGTATATAGTAACATTATCTTCTTTCATTTAATTTGCCAGTTTCAGAAATCTACCAGTGGTATGTTTTCTGTAAATTTGTAATAAATTTAAAATAAGTTCACAATATATGAACGAAAATTTCTTATTTTATTTTTTTGTTTTCTCCTGTAACACCAAAATAAAGTTGACTGATGGATTTATTTGATGCATTCCAGGTTTTCTACACAATGTCTCCAGGTCCTGATCTAGACTTGTGGGATCAAGTTAGCGTTCCTATAACACACTCAGCAGAGCTGCAGAACCTTGAGCGTCACGCCGAGTACGCCATTGCTGTCGCTGCAAGAACTGCTTCCGTATGTTTGCCAGTTATATATCCAGTTTGAAGAATTTATTTTTTTATTTATTTTTTTTTTTATCCTTCAGCTCATTACAAAATCCAGCCATATCTGAAGGATACTACCACCCCCCAGGATGCGACCCGTAACAGGTACCCACTTACCGCTAGGTGAACAGGGACAACAGCAGGTGTAAGGAAACGTGCTTGACATTTTTTACCCATGCAGGGCATCGAACCCCAGACACACAGTGTGTGAGCTGAGTGTGCTATAGAGAATAATATTTTTTATGTAGTACATGTGAGCCAAAGGTTTAAGGATGATTTTTAAATTTGTAACTAAATACAGGTGATGAATTTATTTTTTCCACTTTTTGTAAATTTTATGGAAATTATTATAATTAAATAAACTCTTAAAGATGGTCAAAATAGAGAAAGAATTTAATTTTTTGAGTTTCTGTCTCAGTGTGGGTTATTAAGCACGAACAAGCGTTTATTACAATTTCATTACTTATTACAAATGAATATACACAAATTAGACACATATGCAGCACTTGGGTATCTTTATTGTGGAAACGTTCCCCCACACATTGACTTCTTCAGTCCAATACAAAGAACAATAATTAAAGGTTAGAATGAGGTTGAGGTAATCAGTCCCTCAGCCTGGAGTTGATTCCAGGATGAGGGACTAATTACGTCAAACTCGACTCACGAAATCGTAATGACACGATTGCAAACAAACCATACCACGGGCGGGATTTGAACTCGCGGTCATTACGATTTCGTGAGTCGTGTTGACGGCAGTGAGGAGACTTGAGCTAGAGTTCATCACGGCCGGGCTAGCTGGAGATTCGTCTGTAAAAACTTGCATTTGTGGTCACAGTGGTGGCCTATGCTAACCTTCCTGTGGTGTAGAAATATACCTAGTTGAACGAATCTTATTGTGGCTAGCTGGCCCAGTGGCTAACGCGATGGTCTTAAGTTTCGAGACTCTCTGACCGCGGGTTCAAATCCCACCCGTGGTATGGTACGTCAAACTCTTTCTCATCTTCACCATTCTTTTTTGTATTGGACTGATGAAGCCACTGTGTGGCGAACCATTTTCACAATAAAGATACCCAAGTGTTGTACATGTGTCTAATTTATCAACTTGTCAGTTCTCTGGACCATTTATGTACATGAATATACATATATAAACAATTCCAGTATGTTTTATTTGCAGCAAAATACAGTGTATGAATACAGTACACTAAGATATATACTGGTATATACAGCCTCTCCTCACTTAATGACGGAGTTCCGTTCCTAAGATTACGTCGGTAAACAAATTCATTGCTAAGTGAGGATCATACTATAATGGTAGTGGGTTTGTGTCAGCCATGTTTGATATTTTTTTAATGTCACCTTTGCACCATTAGTAACATTTATGGCATATTTTTTAATGTTTATACAGTAGTATACTGTATATTGGATTAAAGAGAATAAAGGAAATCAGCTCTAATATACATTGGAAATATAAACACATATGCAGTATAATGTGATCCTTTATTGACAACGTTTCACCCACACAGTGGGCTTTTTCAAGTCACACACAGATCTACCCAGGTAGATCTGTGTGTGACTTGAAAAAGCCCACTGTGTGGGGGAAACGTTGTCAATAAAGGATCACATTATACTGCATATGTGTTTATATTTCCACTGTGTCGGTATTTGATACCATTTATTTCCATCTAATATACATTATTTAGGTATGCATACTGGTCAGGGAGCCCGTCGTAAGTCTGAGTCATCGGTAAATGAGTACGTCACTAAGTGAGGGTCTGAGTCATCGGTAAATGAGTACGTCACTAAGTGAGGAGAGGCTGTGTTAAGGAAATAATGAGTGCCTAATATTTATTTGTACAGTAATTCCTTGACTTACAGACACATTGAGGATCTTCTGTGTTGTGTATTTATATATATATATTTTTTTTTTATTAACACACTGGCCGATTCCCACCAAGGTAGGGTGGCCCAAAAAAGAAAAACTTTCACCATCATTCACTCCATCACTGTCTTGCCAGAGGTGTGCTTTACACTACAGTTTTTAAACTGCAACATTAACACCCCTCCTTCAGAGTGCAGGCACTGTACTTCCCATCTCCAGGACTCAAGTCCGGCCTGCCGGTTTCCCTGAACCCCTTCATAAATGTGTTGTATATATCATTATTATAACATTATTGCATATACAGTGGACCCCCGGTTAACGAACTTTTTTCATTCCAATAGTATGTTCAGGTGCCAGTACTGACCGAATTTTTTCCCATAAGGAATATTGTGAAGTAGATTAGTCCATTTCAGACCCCCAAACATACACGTACAAACGCACTTACATAAATACACTTACATAATTGGTCGCATTTGGAGGTGATCGTTAAGCGGGGGTCCACTGTATTGTTATAATATCATTATTACGTATACACAACACAGACGGTCCCCGATGTGTTCATAAGTTGAGGATTTCCTGTATATGTTATTAACCTGATATTCAACACTTTATTATAAAATCAAATTGACTGACAAATATTTTTAAGGGGTCACTCTAAACATCAGTGTGTTTACATAGGGCTTGGGCCGCCTCTCAACGTTGCTGCAAGTGCGTGTGAAACCAGTCGACGTGCCCATGCACCTGCGTGCTCACCACGTGACCACTCATTCCGCTAATCTCACTTGGGGTCCACCCATACAGCTGAACCCCATGCACTTCAAGGTGAGAGACACTACTTAGTTTTGTTTTATAGTCGTAGCTGTTGTCAGTTAATTTGGGGTGTACCAAAGTATCAGTATTGGTATCAGTGGGTATTGGCCAATTTTGATGGTACCAGTATTGGTATCAGTGGGTAATGACCAATTTTGGTGGTATCAGTATTGGTAACAGTTGGTATTGACCAGTTTCGATAAATTTTTGGTGGTGTTTCCTTGTCAAAGATAGATGGAGTTGTTTTCATATTCTTAGCAAACTCTGTTGAATGGACGAATTGAAGGAGGGGGCAGGGGGCAGCGGATGACCAGTAATGGCAGTTGTGGCAACTAGAGAAAAGATTCTTTTGCTGTTTTTTTTTTTATTTTTTATTAACACACTGGTCGATTCCCACCAAGGCAGGGTGGCCCGAAAAAGAAAAACTTTCACCTTCATTCACTCCATCACTGTCTTGCCAGAAGGGTGTTTTACACTACAGTTTTTAAACTGCAACATTAACACCCCTTGATGGAAATAAATGGTATAAAATACCAACACAGTGGAAATATAAACACACATGCAGTTTAATGTGATCCTTTATTGACAATGTTTTGCCCACACAGTGGGCTTTTTCAAGTCACAAACAGATCTGTTTGTGACTTGAAAAAGCCCACTGTGTGGGCGAAACGTTGTCAATAAAGGATCACATTAAACTGCATGTGTTTATATTTCCATTAACACCCGTCCTTCAGAGTGCAGGCACTGTACTTCCCATCTCCAGGAGTCAAGTCCGGCCTGCCGGTTTCCCTGAACCCCTTCATAAATGTTACTGTGCTCACACTCCAACAGCATGTCAAGTATTAAAAACCATTTGTCTCCATTCACTCCTATCAAACACGCTCACGCATGCCTGCTGGAAGTCCAAGCCCCTCGCACACAAAACCTCCTTTACCCCCTCCCTCCAACCTTTCCTAGGCCGACCCCTACCCCACCTTCCTTCCACTACAGACTGATACACTCTTGAAGTCATTCTATTTCGCTCCATTCTCTCTACATGTCCGAACCACCTCAGCAACCCTTCCTCAGCCCTCTGGACAACAGTTTTGGCAATCCCGCACCTCCTCCTAACTTCCAAACTACGAACTCTCTGCATTATATTCACACCACACATTGCCCTCAGACATGACATCTCCACTGCCTCCAGCCTTCTCCTCGCTGCAACATTCATCACCCATGCTTCACACCCATATAAGAGCATTGGTAAAACTATACTCTCATACATTCCCCTCTTTGCCTCCAAGGACAAAGTTCTTTGTCTCCACAGACTCCTAAGTGCACTGCTCACCCTTTTTCCCTCATCAATTCTATGATTCACCTCATCTTTCATAGATCCATCCGCTGTTATTGTTACAATAATGAACAATTCTGTGACCAGAGGAATTTGTCGATTGTTTCCAGATCTGTTGAACTTGTGGAGTTTCATATTTCTGAAGTTCTTTAGCCCTTAAACTGTCCAAACATAGATCTACATTCACGTGCATAACGCTCCGACATTGATTTTCCCCATTTGAAAGCATGTAAAAAAAAAATGTAGATCCACGTTCGGAGCCTGCCGCACATCAACGTATATCTACGTTTGGACAGTTTAAGGCTTAAATCGAAGGTTTATTGTAGTATTTGAATTTTTTTTGTACCACTTGGAGATTGAGAGATAATTAGGTTTGATCCTAGAAAGACGAGGGTAGTTCTGATTCCTTGGATCAAGAGTCCATTGCCAGCATCAAGCCACACCCTTGAAGGGTGAATGTTTTCTTTTTATGTCTGACTTTGTAATGTGTGGTTTCAGGTGACGTACAGCGCTGTGAAGGAGTTCGTGGATGCCCAGGGGGTCACCCAAGTTCAGAGAATCCCGACTGTTACTAATATTGTCCACCATCGAAAATATTGTTACATTATAGAGGATTTGAGGCCTTTCACGACCTACACTGTCAATGTTACCGCTGTGCCCCAGACTAACGAATACCGTCCACCAGCAAAAATTACTGTTACCACACAGATGGCAGGTAAATATGACGTGCCATTCACTTTCTCTTCAAAGTCAAGCTTATACTGTAGTACAGTACTTGATAATTATTAAATTGTGAATGTCCAAAAAAATATTTACACAATCGTCTTGATTAATGGTAAAATTGCATTTTGACTTTATATTAAATGAAAGATAGAAGTACTATTGCTACTTCTTATTTATATATTCACATTATCAAACGAGTTTTATTTTTAAAATGTACATAATTGTTTTAAAATTATAGAAAATTTATTTCATATGTTAGATAGGGGCTTGGACATCCACCATGTGTGTGTGTGTGTGTGTATGTGTATGTGTATGTGTGTGTGTGTGAGAGAGAGAGAGAGAGAGAGAGGATGAGAGAGAGCGCGCAAAAGCAAGCAAGCAAGCATGTTAGATAGGAGTTAATGGAGATAAGCGTATTTTTATGACGAAGTGCTGTTGGGGGGGATGAGCAAGCTAATATTTATGAAAGCCTTCAGGGAAACCAGCTAGCCAGACTTGAATCCTGGAGGTTGAAAGTATAGTGCCTGCACTCTGAAGGAGGGGTGCGTCTGTTGTTATTATTATTTATTTATTATTTACTGTCATTGTCAGTGAAAGTGCGAATGATGGTGAAAATATTTGTTTTTTGGGTCACCTTGCCTTGGTGGGAGACAACCAGCACATTGAAAAAAATACAGTAGGACCCCTGTATCTGTGGGGAATATGTTCCAAGGACCTGCCATGGATACGAAAACCGTGGATAGTAGCAAACCCTATATATAAATCCTGTACATATCTATTATAAAATTTAATTGATAAATTATGCACAATAAGTGGTGAATATTATCACTTTTTCACTAATGAGAAGCACTTCACAGCTTCTCTTAGGCTTTGAAGAACTCCCAGCTTCTCTACTTTTGCGCTTTGGGGTGTTAATGTTGCAGTTTAGGGGTATTAATGTTGCAGTTTAGGGGTGTTAATGTTGCAGTTTAGGGGTATTAATGTTGCAGTTTAGGGATGTTAATGTTGCAGTTTAGGGGTGTTAATGTTGAAGTTTAGGGGTGTTAATGTTGCAGTTTAAAAACTGTAGTGTAAAGCACCCTTCTGGCAAGACAGTGATGGAGTGAATGATGGTAAAAGTTTTTCTTTTTTGGGCCACCCTGCCTTGGTGGGAATCGGCCAGTGTGATAATAATAATAAATATTATACAAAATTAAGAAGTATTTTTGGGCCACAATAAACTGTGGATAACCAAAACCGTAGATACTGAATCAGTGGATATGGGGGTTCTACTGTATTATTCCTTAAAGGGAGATCTAGAGATATACTGTTGAAAGTCTAAGTCATCCCTTTTGAAAATTCTTTATATATTTCATGTAAATTTTTCTGTAACAGCTCCTCAGCCCATGGTTAAGCCAGACTTTTATGGAGTCAAAGGTGACCACGAGATAGCTATGATCCTGCCTCAGGCCTCGGAAGAATATGGGCCAATCGCATTTTACTACCTCATTGTTGTGCCGGAGGACAAGATGCACCCCTTCAAGAACCCCGACCAGTACCTCACAGACGATGTAAGTGTAAGTTCATTACATTTCTTATGGAGTAATGCGCCAAAGCAACGAACATTTTAGACAGTTCTCATGGGCTTTCATTTGTTTGCAATTAACTTGCGAAGGCTAAGGTTCGTGTAGCATAAGAAGCCTCTGCTGGGACATTGTCTTGTTCTAAATGCAACATTTTCAAGTCATGGAAAAATGTTCATGGTGCAACATTGCCCCAGTCAAAGTTTGTTCTGCTAAGAACTTGTTCTTTTTTCGTGTATTTTTGTCTTCACTCCTGTGGGCAATACGATTTTCAGACATTTAAGTTAGGACTCACGAAATCGTAATGACACAATTGCAAACAAACCACAGAACAGGTTTGTACCCACAGCAAGCGAGTTTTAGGTCTCGCTTGCCCTGGGTACAAACCCCATATGTTCCCTGATATAAGTTAGGGTCATTGCAAACTTAATTTTAAACTTTATGCCCAGTCTTGTGATATATATTTTGGAATAGAATTAGTGTTATAACTCTGAATGAATTTGTTTAAAATATTAACATCTCCTTGTATAAAATACAGTACCAGGCTGTAGTTGTTTACATTCAAAAAATTCTCCCCATAACCCATGCATGTCATAAAAGGCCTCTACAGTAATAGAGGATAGTAATCCCTTCTGTTTTAGACTGCTTGAAAGCTTAAGAAAAAAATGAAAACTGACGTGTTTGAATGTTAATGGATGTTGTATGGATACGAACAAATTTATTGCTAAAGTTATGAATGAGAAGAAAATGGATATTTTAGCACTAACTGAAACAAAGGTAAAAGATATGGGAGAATTAGTGGCAGGAGTAAACAAATAAACAAACTTTACATCTGTAAAGTGGAGTGTAGTTTATTGTACAGTTAGCATGATTGACATATATAAAATACTTTATAGAAAGTCCCTTATTATGCAAGACATTTTGGGCAGTCAGGTACATTGTGAGAATTAGAGCTGTGGAAGGTGTAGTGGAAATATTAAGTGATCGGATGTGGAAAACTAAAAGGGATTGAAAGTGTACGAACTCAAGAATTATGTGGGTTAGAATTAAGGTGGTATGCAGGAGGGGTCTGTGTTGGGACCCTTGTTATTCATAATCTACATAAACGACATAGATGAGGGAATAAATAGTGATATAAGCAAGTTTGCTGATGACACCAAAATAGACTGACAAATTCATTCTGATGAGGACATTAGAGCACTCCAGGAAGATTTAAATAGACTGATGCAGTGGTCAGAGAAGTGGCAGATGCAGTTTAATATAGACAAATGCAAAGTTCTAAACATTGGACAGGAAAATAACCATTCCACATATAAACTAAATAATGTAGATCTTAATATTACTGTTTGCAAAAAGGATTTGGGAGTTCTGGTTAGTAGTAATCTAAAACCAAGACAACAGTGCATTAGTGTTCGCAATAAAGCTAACAGAATTCTTGGCTTCATATCTAGAAGTATAAATAATAGAAGTCCTCAGGTTGTTCTTCAACTCTATATATCTTTGGTTAGGCCTCATTTAGACTATGCTGCTCAGTTCTGGTCACCGTATTACAGAATGGATATAAATGCTCTGGAAAACGTACAGAGGAGGATGACAAAGATGATCCCATGTATCAGAAATCTTCCCTATGAGGATAGACTGAGGCCCTGAATCTGCACTCTCTAGAAAGGCGTAGAATTAGGGGGGATATGATTAAGGAATAAATAAAGGGGATGTAAATAGCGTGCTAAAAATATCTAGCCAAGACAGGACTCGCAGCAGTAGTTTTAAGTTGGAAAAATTCAGATTTGGGAAGGATATAGGAAAGCATTGATTTGTTAGTAGAGTTGTGGATGAGTGGAACAAACTCCAGAGTACCGTCATAGAAAGAAATGTTATGTAGTTTTAAAAATAGGTTAGATAAATACATGTGTGGGTGTGAGTTGGACCTGACTAGCTTGTGTTACTAGGTCAGATGCCGTTCTCCTTCCTTAAGTGAATGTGGCCTAACCTGACTAGGTTGGGGCATTGGCTTAAGCCAGTGGGAGACTTGGACCTGCCTCGCATGGGCCAGTAGGCCTGCTGCACTGTTCCTTCTTTCTTATGTTCTTATGTAAGTGAATATTTGGAGGAGTTTTGAGCTATGTGTGAAAATTGTTGTGGGGGACGTAAATGTAAAGTGGATGAGACAGTTGTAGACAGTGTAGTAGGTATGTTTGGAGTGTCGGGTATATCAAAATGGGGACTCAATGAGTGTGTGTAGAGAGAAGGGTAATAGGTAAAACTTATTTTGAGGAAAAGAGCATAAATAAGTACAGGCCTACCTTGTTAATAAGGTGATCACTTTAGAATGCATTGCTAATATGGCGTTTTTCAATTGCATTCGTGATTCTGCTTTTCGGTGCTTGCTTTGCTCTTAAGATGGGGAGTCCCTGCTCTCTCTTCCTGCTCTGCAAAATGGTGATGGAGTGAATGATAGTAAAAGCGTTTCTTCTCTTTTTGGATCACCTTATCTAGTTGGGAGTCAAGTGTTAAACAAATGCATATAGTACGTAGAACCACCACTGTGAAAAATTAGTGAACTTCCAAGTGCTTTCGTGATTTCTCATCTTATCGAGGAACAGTTCCTTGATAATGCGAGAAATCACAAAAGCATTTGGAAGCTCACTATTTTTTTGACAGTGGTTGTTCTGTATATTGTGATGTCACCTGTTTACTGTGATCTCATTTCATATACAGTAGAACCTTGGTACTCGAACTTAAATCATTCCAGAAGGTTGTTCTAATGCTTATCCGTTCGAGTATCAAACGAATTCTTCCCAACCAATTTTCTTTTTGGTTGGCTGTTATCACTAATTTTCATAGGCCCCATGGTGACTTATACAAATAATATAAAAAAACACCAAAAAATGTGAAGAAACTCGAAATAGTTTACAGTGGCATTCTGGCAGGTCGTGTTTGTTTGGTCGAGTGCCGAGCTTTGTTTGAGTAGGAAGCTGTTCAAGTTCCGAGTTTCCACTGTACATAGTACAGAATACCCTAGGGCCCTACTTAACCCTTTGACTGTTTTGGTCATATATATACGTCTTATGAGCCACCGTGTTTGACGTATTTATACTCATAAATTCAAGTGGCTTCAAATCGAGCAGGAGAAAGCTGGTAGGCCCACAGGTGAGAGAATGGGTCTGTGTGGTCATTGTGCACCGCATAAAAAAAATCCTGCAGCACGCAGTGTATAATGAGAAAAAAAACTCCGACTTTTTTTTTTTTTTTAATTAAAATGCTGACTTTGTGGTCTATTGTCATATAGTATTTATTGTTGTATTCTCGTTTTCTTGGTCTCATTTGATAGAATGGAAAACATATTATAAAAATAGAGATGATATTGATTGGTTTTACTATGAAAAGAACCTGGAAATGGAGCTCAAAGTAGGTGAAATGTTTGATTTTTGTCAATGTTCAAAAGTAAACAAATGATGTCATTGTCCAATAAATGTCCAACTAGCCATTCTAATATGCAGTCATGAATGGGTTGATGTTATTTGTAGAATTATTACAATATTGCAGTAGTCTGCATAACAGTAAATCTTCTATTTTTTGTTTGAATAAAAATTCAAAATAGAAAGCAAGAGTAATATCAGAGGTGCCTGGAGATGTGACTGATGAACAAAGAAAATGTTATTTTAGAGCCAGGAATGTCTGCATTGTTCATTCTGGACCCTATTTTGAAATTGTCATATTTTTTAATTTTTGTGAAATTGGCCAAATTGCAAATTTCTGGCCACATTATTGGGTAGTTAAAATGGGTAAATGGGCAGTTTCTTGTACTCAATCGATAGAAAAAATGGAGTTCTAAAGAAATAGCTATGAGTTTGGTCGACTGGAACAATGTAATTAGCCGAAAATAGGGCTCAAAGTGGGGGAAATTGCCGATTCGTAATATCACCGAGGTTGCTAACTTTGCGAGAGCGTAATTTCGTCAGTTTTCCATCAAATTTTGTTCTTTTGGTGTCATTACAATCAGGAAAAGATTCTCTATCATTTCCTAATTTTTTTTTATTTTGCAACACCAGGAGACACCTCAGGATTTGGGGTTGCAACAGTCAAGGGGTTAATCATAATCCAGTATAGGTAAGGGGCAGTTAGGGTTGCAGAGGGTGGAAGGGTCTGTACTTAACACTAAGTAGTTGCTTAGTATGGATGTGCTCTGTGATGAGGTGGTAGAAAGGATGCATGTGTGAGAAAAATGTCTTAGTGGGCAAGAGGTGTTTGTAAAGAGTGTGTATAGGTGTGGGTGGGGATGTGAGGAAGGGGCACTGGAAAGTGTCAGGAAAGGGGAGAGGGTGGCTGGAGTGTGGGATGTGTGTAGGCTAAGACGCTCTTTGCTTTGCAATAGTTTGACTTACAATATTTTGAGTTTACAATGGTGCTATTGCACCATCATAAAGCAATGTACAGTTCTGTATGTTTATTGATAGAATAAACTTGTTTTCATTTATTTACTTTTCAGTACTGGTATATGCAGTAATTATTAGTTTATTTACTTTTTCACTGACCGTAGTTATTTACTACTTATTTATCGTATCGTATTCATATTTGATTTACGATATTTTCAACTTACGACGGGTTCATCGGAGTGTAACCCCATCGTAAGTCAAGGATCACCCGTCAGTACGGGGAAAAGACTACATCAGTGAGGAAAGTTTTGTGTTAGGTTGAAGCAGGAGTAGATGAGACCAGTTTTGAGGTGAAACTTATTGCCTGACTTGTCAACCAGGCTGTTGCTACTAGCACCCCACAGGTGTACTTATACATTGATTGATAAGGCATATGCATCAGGTAGTGGTCCAGTTGAAGACAGATGCCAGAAGTGAGAATTAACTGCTTGTTTAGTATATCTAAATGATTAATGTGTGTTTGTGAAAGAAGGAACTAGTAGTTTCTTGAGAGGGATAAGGGAGAATGATTAACTTGTACATAAACAAATTTGTTAGGTACTGTAAATGTGTACCAGATAGTGGTACACAGTGATCATAGTAGAATAAAAGCATATTTAGAAAGGAATAAAGGATGTCTGTGGCCTAAATGTTTACATTAAATAATGTAAATGGGCAATGTTTGATGGGTTGGTAAAAATTGCACTTGACAAAATGGACTGGCAACTTTGTGACAAGTTTTGCAATTGTCTGGAATTGTTGGTAACTTTTTTTGTTATTGTTATACTGCACTTACCAAAAAAAAAAATGTCAAACTCATATGGGTCGTACAATACTAGTAAGGTGCTGAAAATTGTAAGTACCTTAGCTTTTATAAGTGGTAGTGAAGCCTAGGGTATGGTGCATTATGATGACTTTGTGTGTGTGTACATGTTTTGGTACATGTGTGCATGAGGGCGTACATGTAGATAGATGTTTGGTGCGGGTACAAGTGAAAAAAATAATGATCATAATTTGAAGTGGGAGTTAGTACAGTTTTGTTTACATTGATGTTGTATTATTGAGACATTCATTATAGCCACAAAGGCTGGTAAAAAAAAATATTTTGAAGGGTAGAAAAAACTGAAATTCAATATTTGCAATAGAAAATAACAGTGTAATGTACAGGTATGCATAGTGATGTATAGGGCATATAAGAGTAGTCTCTAGGATTTGATGTGCTGTTGGAGTATGAACAAGGCAACATCCTTGAAGCAAGTAAGTACCTACTTATAAGAGGTTAGTAGTAAAGTACTAGTGCTCCTCAAGTTACGATGGAGTTATGTTCCGACAAACCCAACGTAAGTCGAAAATATCGTGTCGAATATGAATATGATAAGATGAATAAATAAGCAAAGAAATGCTGGCACTGAATACTTAAATAAACAAATAATTACTGTAACTAATGAAATACCAATATTGAAAGGTAAATAAAAGGATACAAGTTAGGGACTTATTGACTTCATGCTGGATAATTATCTCAAGTTGCATCTCCATAGTAATTGCTTTTGCAGCATCATAAGTTGAACAATTACAAGTTGAAGCATTGGAAGTCGAGGAGCGCCTATACTTACATTGTAAGTCTTGTGATCAGTAGTGATCAGTATGGATCAGTAGTGATCAGTATGAATCAGTATTGATCAGTATGGACCAGTAGTGATCAGTATTGATCAGTAGTGATCAGTATTGATCAGTAGTGATCAGTATTGATCAGTATTGGATCACAATGTTATGTTCTTCTGGAAAGGCAGGTAAAGAAAGAATAATTGCCAGTTTATTTTTTTGTGGGGAATGGCTGAAGAATTCAAAATATATACATCCTGTATACGTACTACGTATAGGTATTACCAGCCCTATGTCGACATATTTAATGTACTCCATGAGACACCCCTGGACTTGTAGTCGAGTTGTAAATATTTTGTTACAAATTCCAAAATATACACTGTAGAATAAGTAGCAATGCACTAGAGGTTTAATTCCAATTTATACCCAAGTGAAATATAGTTTTTGCATTTTATTCTATAGTATTTTATTCTTATTAAAGAGGGAGAGAGAGGAGGGAGAGGGAGAGAGAGGGAGAGTGCCGCACACACGTTCAGAACAAGAACGAAGCAAGAGGAGACTAGCGACGACAAGCTCTTTATTTACCATAAAGGTATTTAATTTGGTGTTGATATGTTACAACTGCACTGTATTCTTTATCTGAAATAATGTTCAACGTATTTAAAAACATACAAGACTTACAACGATAATGAATACTATTGCTTGCACACTTAAACACTCACTGATCAACATTCAGTAGAAATATTGGCAGATTTTTAATGATAAGGGGCTCACAAAAAATTCCCCAAAAGTCAGCTAGGCCTAAGAGCAAAGCTACACACAACACCGATAAAGAGGACAATGTATACACCTCGACTTATGGTCCAGGTTGGTAGGTTACTGTATATATTTGAACTCTGGTCATTTCCCACAGTGTATTTCCCATATGCTCCTTCTCCTCCTCCTCCCCCCCTCAAAAAAAGAAAAATCGTGTACTTTTCTAATGGAGCATTGGCATCATGGAAAATTTTTGACCCACAGAGGCTCCAATATTCTCACTCTATTTTTAAAACAGTACCAATACAGTATATTACTGTAAATGAATCAGGGAATGTGTAAGGCTTGAACCCATAAATAACAAAAAAAGGCACAATACCGTGACTGGAACGATACACAAATCGCACATAGAAGAGAGGAGCTTACGACGACGTTTCGGTCCGACTTGGACCGAAATGTCGTCGTAAGCTCCTCTCTTCTATGTGCAGGTTATTTGTGTATAGCTTGAACCCATGGTAAGATAGCCCTAAAATTCACAGGCCAGTGCATTAACCACTTGACCTGTGAGTTTTAAGATTCGCTTGCCTTTGGTCCAAGTCCCACCCATTCTATGGTTTGTTTACTATCGTGTTATTACGATTTTGAATTGTACTTCTGTACTTCCTGACCTCCAGAACTGAAGTTTGTCTAGCTAGTTTCCCAGAACGCCACAAGTTCAATTCCCGCCAATGGTGTGGTTTGTTTACAATTGTGTCATTACAATTTCATAAGTCATGAAATATTTGTGTGTTGTTAATGCTTCTTATATCATTATTCCTTGCTAATGCCTATATGAAAATGGCTTAGAATTCTGCCCCATTAGACTATGTCTAGTTCTTAAGTAGTCTTTAAGCATTAAGATTAGTTTACTCGAAATACATTGTACACTGCAGGTGCTCCTTGACTTAGAATACAATGCAACAATATAATTTTATTTCTTTGCAAAGGTTACATTGTGTGATTTACATTTTACAAAATGTAAAATACAAAGAAAGCCACTAACATGCCTGGGCATTTCAGGCAGACAATGGGTTACGTTCCGTCATACCCATCATAAGTCGAAAATATCGTAAGTTGAATATGAATATATGCTAAGTAAATAAATAACTACTGTCACTAAATAAGTAAATAAACAATTATTGTAACTTAGTAAATATCAGTATTGAAAAGTAAATAAATATAAGTTAGTGACCTGGTACCTTCGTGCTGGGTAATTATCTCAAGGTTTCATCCCCAAAGAAATTTCTTTTGCACCATCGTTAAGTTGAAATATCACAGATCGAGAAGCACCTGTAGTGGCTTTCTTTTGTGCCAAACAATGTTGCATTACATGTGTAAATTGTATTATCTTTTTGTTTTTTCAACGAATCGACCGCATCCCACTAAGGTGGGGTGACCTACAAAGAAAAACCAAAAGTTTTTCTTTTAAAATCTAGTAATTTATGCAGGAGATGAAGTTAATTATCTTTGTACTGTATAAAAATTAAAAATTTTAATTTTAATTTTTGTTAGTAAAATGACCAGAAGAGAGTCAGAAGTCAAAGATTTATTTCCTCTTGTACAGCAGTAACCTGAACCTGACCTGCTGTATAAGCCGGGCTCTCCTGTACACAGTAGCCCGGAACCTAATTTGCTGTATAAGTGGGGCTCTAGTGTAGCCTGGAACTTAACCTGCTGTTCAAGCGGGCCTCTCCTGTACAGCAGTAGCCTGGAGCCTAACCTGCTGTATAAGCAGGGCCCTCCTGTATAGCGGTAGCCCAGAACCTAACCTGTTGTGTAAGTAGGGCCCTCCTTTATAGCAATAGCCTGGAACCTAACCTGCTTTATAAGCAGGGCCCTTCTGTATAACAGTAGCCCAGAACCTAACCTGTTGTATAAGTAGGGCCCTCCAGTACAGCAGTACTCCGGAACCTAACCTGCTGTATAAGCAGGGCCCTCCTGTATAGCGGTAGCCCAGAACCTAACCTGTTGTGTAAGTAGGGCCCTCCTTTATAGCAATAGCCTGGAACCTAACCTGCTTTATAAGCAGGGCCCTTCTGTATAACAGTAGCCCAGAACCTAACCTGTTGTATAAGCAGGGCCCTCCTGTATAGCGGTAGCCCAGAACCTAACCTGTTGTGTAAGTAGGGCCCTCCTTTATAGCAATAGCCTGGAACCTAACCTGCTTTATAAGCAGGGCCCTTCTGTATAACAGTAGCCCAGAACCTAACCTGTTGTATAAGTAGGGCCCTCCAGTACAGCAGTACTCCGGAACCTAACCTGCTGTATAAGCAGGGTCCTCCTGTACGACAGTAGCCCAGAACTTAACCTACTGTTTAAGTGGGGCCCTACCGTAGCCCGGAACCTAACCTGCTGTCTAAGTGGGACCAGCCTGTAATAATTATTATAGTGCAAATAATTTAGGATAACCAAGAAAAGTCAAAGTGAATTACTGTACTTCCATTGTTCTGGGATATGGTATAAACCATAATAATAATATCTATTTTGACATGATACGTGGTTGTACAAATGAATATAATAGTTGGGTGTACATGCCAAAAGCCTCTTGTGTGCCAAGCATTTCAGGCAAACTTAAAATTAACTTATGATTGATAAGGCAATAACAGATTATGTATATGATCATTAGATGAGTTACAGTGAGTACGAGATGCCCAAAAATTGGTTTAAAAAACACGTGGACAGACACTAGAACGTATTTATTAAATGAAGCGATTGAGGTCCCACGACTGAAATGTTTTTCTAATAAATGTGTCCTAGTGTTTGCTTGCCTGCCTTTTTAGACTGGCTCGGGGATTTAATTTTCATTTGTGACACCTTGGTCATCGATTTTTTCTGAATACTGTTTTATTTTGACTTCTGGCAAGGCAGCAGTGGAGTGAATGATGGTGAATGTGTGTCCTCTCTCTCTGGAGTTGCCCGTACCTCTCTGGTAAATGACGGCCGTTAAGAAAATCAATTAGACCCAAATATCTCGGACTTCTTCATTTTTAACCTGACGTATAGTACAGGTACTAGTTATGGTATTCACAGGGAAGCACTAAACCCATAAGGGTTGCACAGTGGGGGAAAGGAAATAACCGTATCTGAGCCAGGGATGGGGTTCAGCTCCAGTTCCTTCCATCAAGAGCCCTTTATTGACATCAGGAATTTTTAAAGGAGTTCATGGAAAGATGACCCCTCAAGGGAGGTCCCTTGATGCTGGTGAGGGGCTCTTGATCTAGGGAATAGGATCTGTGCTCCAGTTCCCTGAATTAAGCCTCAATACCTTCCATCCTCTCCTGCCCACAGGTGCTGTATAATCCCTACGGGTTTAGCACTCCCCGTGATTATATTAATAATAATGGAAAGATAAACAGCATCTCTTAACTGAGAATTATCATTATTATTATTATTATATTGATGGGGTTGTACAGCACCTGGGCATTGGGAAGCAATCAGGTTTGATTAGAGGAAGAGGAGCTACAATAACTTATATCAAGATCCCTTCACTCTCATCAAGATCCCTTCACTGTCATCAAGATTCCTTCATGTTAAGTAAAAGGACACAAGTGCAACTACTGCAACATTTTATTGTTGCAACGTTTCACTCTCCAGGAGCTTTGTCAAGCCATTACAGACAATACATGGACACAGAAGGTATATATAGGCTTAGAGTGAGGTGTAAGGCACAGTATAATCATTGTAGAAATAGTAGTTGTGATACTAGTGGTAGTAGTAGTAGCAATAATACATGTGGTTATTAGAGCTTGTTGCATGGGTAGCATTAAAATAGGTTGGGCAAATATTTTTGTTAGTGGTTTGGGTTTGAGGCGGCCAGTTGCAGTGTTCCTCTTCTCTTGTAATGGCAGGGTTTATTATTTTGAGAAGGATTCCTGCTAATATTTCAGTAATGATGAAGCTAGTTTTATTTTGTGTTAGAAACGGTGATTAATGATGATTCAAGGCATTTACGTCTGTGGAAATTAGGTTCTTTAATCACAAGTTGAGTGTTGAATTTAATTGGGAAATTGGCGGAATTCTGGTGTTTTACGCAGGCGTTGTTCAAATTATTGTTCCTAAATAAATTAATGTGTTCACTGAGATGTGTTTCAAGGTTCTTTGCTAGTTTCACTTATATATATTCTGACACAGCCTCCACAAGGTATAGTGTAAACCCCTGCATTGACTGGTTCGTGGTGCTTCAGTATTGTCTTAGCTGGATCTTTTATGGAAGTGCTGGTTGCAATGGCGACTGTAGTGCTAGCTTCAACATTCAATGCAACCTGGCTGTTGGGAAGGATTATAACTTGTTAGGAGTGGTGTTAGTGCATGGAGAAGGATCTGAAGGACTCTTTTCTTGCAGTCTTTGATGAAAAAGGAAGGAAAATATAGATCAGTGAAGATTTGGTGTATGTACACACTCTCCTCATCAAGAAACTCTGGACTACAAATTCGGTATACAGTTGAACTGGCTATCCAGTTTACATTGGGAGAGTCCAATGACAAGTTACCTTTTCTAGATGTCCTTATTCACAAATCAGATAATACACTAAGGTTTCAAGAAGACTACAAACAAAAAACAATCTCACATGCTTCTATCCCAGTCAAGACAGTAAGACCAAAAGAAGCATCATCATCCGATTTTTCCTGAGAACATACCAAATTTGTAGTCCAGAGTTTCTCGACAAGGTGAAATAGCAAGAAACCTTGAAACACGTCTCAATGAACACATTAATGCATGTAAGAACAATAACTTGAACAATGCCTGCGTAAAACACCAGAGTTCCGCCAACCACCTCGTGAAATTCAACAATGCCA